TGTTTAGCGGTGTTTAGCGGTGTTTGGCGGGGTTTGGCGGGGTTTAGTGTTGTTTAGTTGGTGTTAGCGTTTCGTGGTGTTTAGCTTGGTGGTTTTTAGCGGTGTTTGGCGCGGTTTAGTGGTGTTGCGGTGTTTTGTTTTTAGTGGTGTTTGGTGATTTTTAGTGGTGTTTAGTGGTCCACTTGGCCCACTGAATGCTGAACACTTTTTTTATCAGGGGATGTGAGGACAGCCACGCCTTGGCGAGTTAGTTCTTGGTCGGCTTTAAAGTGAAAACCGTTGAGCCATTCTGGGGCATGCCCTAAACAAAGGAGACAGCCCCAATCGGTTTCCTTGTTGGTTTCCCTTTAAAGCACCCCCTTTCTTTGCTGCAAGAAGAAAAGATCTCCCAGAGGTGCGATTGGGAGGGAGGGTATGCGAGGAAAAGGTTCACTGAAACTTGGTGGTTCCCAGCCATTTGGCTGCTTGGGTTGTTATTAGGGCTTAGTGGGGGGTTCGATTTGACCCACTAGAAGTTAAACTGTTGGCAGGGGAGGATAGCCTAGACTTAAAATAGTTGCCAGAATCAAGCATATTGGCAAACGCTGAGATATTTATGCTAATACTGCTAGCATAAATGGTATTTGTTTTACTGGTGACTGAACGTGACGCAAACTATAGCATGCCTTGGGTCTATCTCCAATCATGCCCTTGGGCCATGGTCATTCTCTTGTATTCAGGCCCTTGCTTCCGGCGGTTCGACCATGGAAGCAGGTGCGTCCCGAAAATTGAGGCTTCCCCTTTTGGAGTGGTTTCGAAGGGAAGGGAGCGGAATCGAAACTGGCATACAAATTTGCCGCTCAAGACTTCCGATCGCTTCCGATGGGTTCCGGGGTTTTCGTAGGGCGCCTCCCGGACCCTGCTGTTAACTCATCGCCATTGGTGCCCTTCATTCGGGATCCCACGACCTCACTATCTACCAAGCTCACCTTCAATTCCCTCCGGCCGACTCACACTCCGGTTCGTTTGGTCGAAAAGATTGATGGCCTGGGTTTCCGTTGGCTGAGACTCAGCGCCGTTTTCTTTTGTTTTTCTCCAACACCTCCAACTTTCCCCCTCCCAGACATTCCCTCTCTCTCACAGGTCTCTCCTTTCCCTCTCCAGACATCCCTCGCTCAGGTGCTTAAGGGCACATTTCGCTTTGTGTGGAGCTCATCCCTCTCTCAAGTGCTAGGCGCATTTTTGCGTGGAGCTGTCCTCAATGTTGACCAAAGGTTTCCTCCCCGACTTGAGGTGGTCTCCCTTCCCTCCCCACAATCTCCCCTCCGAGCCAGCCCGGCTGAAGTCCGCGAAGGCCAAGTTCACCGACCCGGGCACCAAGCGCCTCTGGTTCTTCAACGAGGCCACGGAGGCCGGGTGGCCCTTTCCATTTCTTTGCCGATTTTTCCGGTTCGATGTTCCACTTTTGCTTCGCAAAAGAGATCTGATCCAGATTTGTTTTCGGGATGCGTCGGGTTTGGGCGGCTCAAGGGAGCCTGGTTCCGGGGAAGCCGTTGCTTGTGCCCCGGCGCGTAAGCGGCCTTGCCGCCTTCCGTGTTGGAGCGGGTTCGAAAAGTGTCCGGCGAGGACGTAATGACACAAGAGGAGTTTGCTGAATGGCAGGAGAGCCAACAACTAGACAACGGCATGTGCGATGCGCTCAGGCGCAGTCTTGCCGGCCGCTCGCAATTGACCAATTTCCGGCAGTTGGCATTGCTCTGTGGCGATCACATGCTCGGCCCGGAGCGCCAATGTGGTGACGATGAGCTGACCGTGGTGATTCGGCCGTATATAGATGAAGGTGGGGAATTGCAGGCGGCATACGATGGCGGCATGGGAGTCGTGAGGTTGGAAAGGCCCGTGGACCCGGATGCGGAAGTCACGGGGACGCCGATGGTTGACGCCGGGGGCGAGACTGCCCTGCATTGGGCCGCGATGAGATGCGAGGACCTGGTGAGCTGCAGACGTGGAAGGTCGCGCAGACGTGGAGGCTCGGTTATTGTTGGGAGACATTTCGCGTTTTTTCTTATTGTGGTTTCGTGGTTGAAATCCAACCACTCAACTGCTGAAGTTTAAACTTATGCTCCCCTTTTTAAAAGTGGTTTAGTGGTTGAAATCCCTATTTCAACGTCAGCTTCAAGGTCCAAGAAATCGGCTCGCGGCCCTGCACTATGCCGCCCGGCGCGGCCACGTGGAGATCGCGCGGTGCTTGCTGAAGGCTGGCGCTGACAAGCGCCGGGCGAGCCCGCCCTACGGGCACACGCCCCTGGCGGTGGCGCGCTACCACGGCAACTCGGACATCGAGGACTTGCTGAAGAGCGACGAGGCCGAAGGGAGCGAAAAGGCCGCCAAGAGGCCGCGGCGCAAGCGCCCAGTGAGTGAAGACGAGAAAAGGATCAGCTAGGTGCCCCAGCAGTGCCCTTTGACCCTTTTTTGGTTGGGAGGGTTCCCCTACTAAAATAGCCTGAAAAAAGGGTACCCTCTACTGGAGGACGTAGATTTGGACGGCTGGTTCGTTTGCCTTTGGACGCGTTTTCAGCATTTGACATCTTCAGAGGTTTGTCGTGTTGGATGTTCAACCAGGCATCCTGAACGAGTTTCTTGCCTTCAACTTCCGCAGAAGAGGAAATGGAGGTTCAGTTGGGTAGTTAATCACGCTTCCAAGTAAAGGATACAGTGCTGTCGCCGTTTTGAATAGTTTGAACGGGTTTCTGTATGAACTAGGTGTGTAAGTACTCGTACTCATGACCCTCCTGGATGCATGTTATGTCAGCACGCGCAAAGTCAAAAGAGGGCCTACGAGGTGTCAGCTTTAACCTTTGGCTTTTGAATCATGGCTATCTCGCCACTAACCAGAGTCAGATGTTACTACGCCGCGTTTGCCATTTTTTTGGGAGGAGGGCGGTAGCAACTAGAATCTCTCGGTGGGTATGCAGGAAATTGTTTGAATAGTGCTGGTGCTCCCATCAACGTTCCTATGTCAAATCTCCTTCGAGATCTCGTGAGTTAAGCAGTCCAGTGCTGCTAGTTGCGTCTTTGCAAAGGCTGTTTACCTCTAGGTTTTTCATGTTCTCCTGGATACCTACTACAGTGGTGACTGGGAGCACTGGGAAGGCTAGTTCCCCGTAGCTGGATCGGTTGAGCACTGGTTCCCCCCGACGAATGGCAGCTGCTTGCCCTTCCCGTTCTCAAGTAAGGACTCGCGGCCAAAGCGGGGGGTTGCCCGAGATCCTCATTGCCAGTAAACATGGTAGCTGTCTAAGTTGCAGAAGGGCCCGGTACACAAAACTACGGAGAATCACATGCCCCCTCCCTGTCAGCTTCATTGTGACCCTCAATACACCCATAGCTATGAATTTTAACAGGCAACCCCTTAATAGTGGTTGGTGGACAGACATCTCCGGCGAAGTGATGTGCCCCAAAAGCACTCCGAACAAAAACGACATCCTCAAATAAGAGAACTTGCAGGCAGCCGATGGAGCAATTGCAACTTGCCAAACTGGATTGCAAACCTTCAAGTCCCCGAAGGAAGTAGGGAACATGAGTATGGATTCTAGGCAACTTACCCCATGTGGGCAAATGAGCACTTACCAAGTTGGGAGCTTTCAAGGACTCAAAGAGGAACCTTTTGCGGAGCCGAGCACCTTCGAAGGGCGAGAGGCGATGTCTTCTGGGCCATTTCTCTCGAGTTACCTCTGCGGCAAACCGCTTTGCCACGCTCGGGCTGGAATTCGGCCGTGTCTTTTTGTGAAGCCTCTTTTGCTTGGTTGAGAAGAGGAGGCACTTTTCTTTTGGGGGGGGGGGGGGCGAATTGGATATGTCTCAAAACAGGTTGACCCCAAACATGGATCGGTGTTCCATTTGGTATCCCTTGAAGCCAACCTGAAGCCTCAAGCGAGAAGATCATTTGGATCTATCTTTTCTTGGTGGCTCCCAGCCATACAGTTCCTTAGCTTTCTAGCCTTTTAGTGTTTAGTGGCATTTTCCATTTAACCCACTAAAAGTTAGTAACTTTTAGCGGGGGATCAGAAAACGGGCAACCCAGTTTTATGATGGTGGTTGGTCGGTTTGAAAGGTTTGAAAGGGGACCACCAATTTGCAGGGTCCCCCATTGGAAGACATGTTTGAGGGGACTCACTTTTTGGCGTGGTTTAAATGGAAACCACCTGCAAAGCCACAATTTTTGGGGAGCCCCTAAAAAGAGACACCCCCCCATTTTTTGTCCCTGCGATTTTTTCTCTGAGAGGAGTTCTTCTTTGCCAATGACACCTCCACCGGCTGGCGACACTGGCTCGAGTTGCGCGCCTGCCAGGGGTCTTGCACTCTTTCTTTTCACATATTGTTTTTTTCTTGGGGAAGGGTGGAAGGTTTTCGTGGCTCACCCTTTTCGTTGTTTTGTTTTTTTCCCTTGGGGAAGGGTGGAAGGTTTTCGTGGCTCACCCTTTTCGTGTTTTTTTTTTGGGGGGGGAAGTGTGTGGATTGTCGTGTCTTTTTGTTTCTTTTGTTTTGATTGGATTTCCCACACTTAGGGAGGGATCATACAAAAGCAAAAGCAAGTCAACCAAACGAAGCGGTGCCAGCTCCTCCTTTTTTCCCATGGACGTTCACTATGACCTGGTCCGGGTTCGTTGGTTTCGTTTCTTGCCCTCACTTTGCCACCAGTCATCTGCCGGAGGTGAGGTGCATCAGCATGCGGTTTGGGGATCGACCCGGTTGCTTCTGCGTTCTGGTGTTTTTTTTGGTCCAGAGATGCGCTGTAAGGTTTTCCGGGCGCCTTCGTTTCGAAGACGGTGATGGCTATGGACATTTAAGGGGGAACTCAGTCCCTGAAACGTTTTTGGCGGACATGAATCCCCCACCTAAACAATGTCCACCGAAGGTTTTCCACTAAGCCCCCCAAAAAAGTAACTTTTTGCAGGGGGGTCGTTGCAGCAACCCAGCTTTCAGGGAGGGTTCCCACGGGGCTTCCATTGGGCAGCCCCGCCCGGGGCGGTTTTTGTCTTTGCGACGGCTGCGCAGGGCGCAGTACTCCTCCAAGGGCAAGATCTGGTGGTTCCACGAGGTGCGGACCATGGATTCCGATAAGCCAAAGCTGAGTCCAGGGCTCCTGAAAAGATCGGTCTACATGTTGCTTGCAACCATTTGAGTTACATGTGGCTCTTTCCACACCAAAAGAAGGGGAAACTGGAGTGACATGTGGCTTTTTCCACACCAAAAGAAGGGGAAACTGGAGTGACATGTGGCTTTTTCCACACCAAAAGAAGGGGAAACTTGAGTGACATGTGGCTTTTTCCACACCAAAAGAAGGGGAAACTTGAGTGACATGTGGCTTTTTCCACACCAAAAGAAGGGGACACTTGAGTGACATGTGGCTTTTTCCACACCAAAAGAAGGGGAAACTGGAGTGACATGTGGCTTTTTCCACACCAAAAGAAGGGGAAACTGGAGTGACATGTGGCTTTTTTCACACCAAAAGAAGGGGAAACTGGAGTGACATGTGGCTTTTTCCACACCAAAAGAAAGGGACACTTGAGTGACATGTGGCTTTTTCCACACCAAAAGAAGGGGACACTTGAGTGACATGTGGCTTTTGCCACACCAAAAGAAGGGGACACTTGAGTGACATGTGGCTTTTGCCACACCAAAAGAAGGGGAAACTTGAGTGACATGTGGCTTTTTCCACACCAAAAGAAGGGGCAACTTGAGTGACATGTGGCTTTTTTCCACTCCAAAAGAAGGGGACACTTGAGTGACATGTGGCTTTTTCCACACCAAAAGAAGGGGACACTTGAGTAACATGTGGTTTTCCACACCAAAAGAAGGGGAAACTTGAGTGACATGTGGCTTTTTCCACACCAAAAGAAGGGGAAACTTGAGTGACATGTGGCTTTTTCCACACCAAAAGAAGGGGAACTTGAGTGACATGTGGCTTTTTCCACACCAAAAGAAGGGGAACTTGAGTGACATGTGGCTTTTCCACACCAAAAGAAGGGGAACTTGAGTGACATGTGGCTTTTCCACACCAAAAGAAGGGGAAACTTGAGTGAATGTGGCTTTTTCCACACCAAAAGAAGGGGAAACTTGAGTGACATGTGGCTTTTTTCCACTCCAAAAGAAGGGGAAACTTGAGTGACATGTGGCTTTTTCCACACCAAAAGAAGGGGACACTTGAGTAACATGTGGTTTTCCACACCAAAAGAAGGGGAAACTTGAGTGACATGTGGCTTTTTCCACACCAAAAGAAGGGGAAACTTGAGTGACAGTGTGGCTTTTTCCACACCAAAAGAAGGGGAAACTTGAGTGACATGTGGCTTTTTCCACACCAAAAGAAGGGGACACTTGAGTGACATGTGGCTTTTTCCACACCAAAAGAAGAGGAAACTGGAGTGACATGTGGCTTTTGCCACACCAAAAGAAGGGGAAACTTGAGTGACATGTGGCTTTTTCCACACCAAAAGAAGGGGAAGCTTGAGTGACATGTGGCTTTTGCCACACCAAAAGAAGGGGAAACTTGAGTGACATGTGGCTTTTTCCACACCAAAAGAAGGGGAAACTTGAGTGAAATGTGGCTTTTTCCACACCAAAAGAAGGGGAAACTTGAGTGAAATGTGGCTTTTTCCACACCAAAAGAAGGGGAAACTGGAGTGACATGTGGCTTTTTCCACACCAACATATAGTTGGAAACCGCCATTTACAAGTTGCAATGGTGGATCCATTGTAAGGATCCCTGAGACCTTCCTCGTGGCTTCGGTTGGCTGAGCACCCCTTTCCAGAGTAAAAGTCTCAAGAGGGAGGCTTTTGGGGGAGCATCTCTTTCTCGGGCTTTTTGCTTGGGTCAGTTGAAATTCGCCAGTTCTGGTTTCGGGATGGCTTCCATTGAGCCAGCATAAAACGGTACCCACTGCATCATGGGTCTAGCGGTGGGAATTCATCCTATCGATTTGGGAGAGAGAGAGCCAAGAAATCATTGACCACACGAGCACACCTCTATTCAGAGGGGTGCGTTTAGGGGGTCGTGGTTGGGGGGATCCGCTCAAGGGGTGATTGCAAACATGAGATGGCTTTACGGCTTTTGCCCGCATGCTTTTTGTGTGTGCATATTTTTTGTTGTGTGTCCCCATTTTAAGACACCCCAAATGGCAAAATTGAGGTTCCTCCCAAGATTAATGGCAGCAGGGTTTGTACTTCCCTTTGCTCTCCACAAGCAAGTTGCATTTCGTTGGCCATGCCCTCCAACGAGATGATCCTCAGACGAATCTTCGGTTTGACGGCAGCCCCGGCCGGTGCATCAAGCAGAATGAGGCATCGAGCCCCCAAATTTGGTTTGGATTGGTGGTTTGGGGATTTGAACCCTTGGTTCTTGTGGAGCTATCTTTTGGCAGAGACCAGCTAAGAGCCAGGTATAGCCAGGTCCCAGCATTGCAAAGTGACTTCTGTTGAAGTGCCGCCCTTTCATTGAGAGACCCAGCTGATTTCGACAAGTGCATGCCTACCTCTCTGGCGTCGATAGTAACTTCACCGAACCGGGACGAGGCTATGCCAACATACTATATATATATATATATGAGTTCCCCCATTAACGAAGTAGTCTGACGCGTTTGGAAGGTATATCTCCCAACTTGGCTTAAGCAGCTGAGCTTTGGCAGGAGTCGAATCGCTACTTCTTTGAGCCTTACTAGGCCGGGTTGGGGCCTGGTTGGGGCCGGCAGTCGCTTTGCGTTGCCTGGGCTAAGGCGAAGGCAAGGTGCTATCGCAGATAGGCATCCGGTTCAGTAGGGTCTTTGGGTGGTTTTTTTCGTAGCTTTGGTGCTTTTTGCCAACTAACCGGTTTTCCATTAAACCACTAGAAGTTAAACTTTTAGCAGGGGAGCAGAAAGCAACCGAGGTTGGTTGAGTGGTGCGGTTTTAGTGGGTTCTTTTGGGGTTTACTGAGGGAAGACTCAACTTTCCTGAGCACTTCTCTTATTCCCAGCATTCCCCCTACGTGTTTAGTCTTAGTGGTTTTTAGTTGGTTGAGTGGGCCCCGGGTTTCCGTATTTGACCCACAAGTCTTCGACCTTCAGATCTGAAAAGGAGGAGGGATTCCCAGACTCACAGTCCTGCTCTGGAGGGACCCTTTGCATCACAACTTCTCTGGTGAGTCATTTGGGTCTGTTTGAAAAATGGTGCACCTCCTTCTTGATTGCTATTGGGTAACGGATCTGCAGACTTTACAACTTTGTGGTTGAAATCATTCTATTTTTGCGAATTTAAGCCCCAAAACAGTTAAACACTTTAAGCTCGATTTGTGAGGGGGAAGCAAAAGAAGAAAAAAAAACGACCTCCCGTGTTGGACCGAATCCTAGTTTGACGACACCCTCAGTGTAAGCCCCCCCAATTCTGACCTGCAACACTGCCGGCACGCATATCCGGAGGATCCCAGGCCTTGATGGGATAGGAGCGAACCCCATGAAGGTCCTCTCGCAGATCCCTTTCATGGGTTCCAAAAACTAAAAAGACTACTGAAAAAAGGGTTGTTGTTTGAACATGTTTGTTGACTAGGGACACATGTTTTCCACATTTTTGATCTTGTTGTGGTTTAGTGGTTGAAATCGATTTCAACCACTTAACTGCTAAAAAATAGATTGTTGCTCCCCTTTCAACGTCAGCCAAGCTTGGCTCGCAGATCCCTTGCATGTTGTTTGAAAATGTTTGTTGACTAGGTCCCCCAGTAGTGCCCTTTTACATTTTTTTTTGGGGGGAGGGTTCCCCTACTACAAAGACTACTGAAAAAAGGGTACCCTTATTCTAACCTCTCTACCGGAGGACCTAGTTGAAGTTGCAGATTTGGAAGAGCCCTCAAGTTTCTCCCCAAGGATTTGTTCAGAACCTTAAACGGCTCAGGACGTGCTCATCTCTTTCAAGCTTGCCCTCCGAAAACTGAGTCTTCAAGAATCTCCATTTCAGTGAACTTCTTTTTGAGAATATCGTTACAGCATCCCCATTCCACTCATTCTTGGGAAGTGCTCTTTCTTTCGGAACATCGTGACATGGACATCTATCTCTGTTGTCGTGGATTGGCCCTAAAATGGATTTCAGTTTTTTCAACATCGTCGCAAGGGGGTCCCCAAGAAAACCAAATCCACTCATTTTGGAACATACGGAACAAGGCAAGCTGTGCACATTGTGTCGTCTCTGCCACATTTTTTCCAGCCGAGAAATCTCGGAAACGCCCCCAAGCACAAGTCGAGATCTTTTCGGGATCCCAAGCTGTTCCCAAGCTGCACAGAAACTGGGTGTGTCTTTTTCGAGCCTCTGTTTTTCCCTTTGTCTAGTCGGACTCATCCAGGAGCTTTGCAAAATCTTTGGGGGGACCCCTATCAAAGGCGAACCACCCCGACCCAGGCTGCTGGAGCCCACCCCGACGGAGCAGTTTCTGCCAGTTTCTCCCCTCGGGCCGGCTCGGAAACCCCAAGGAGTCAAGCACCGGGGGTCTGCTTGTGTTTTTTTTACTCAGTTGTTCAAAGCCGACCTTTTCACCTTTTGGTTTTCCCTTGTTGGTCTATTTTTAGTAGAGGTCCCAAAGGGTTAACCTTTTATTTGCAAAGTCCTTTGGGCAAGTGAGTTGATGGTACCCTTTTCGAGGTTGGTTTGGAGGGAAAGCAAAAGGAAACCGCCTGCTGGGAAGCGAGTCCACGCCATTTCTTCAGCGCGGTTTTGCGCGGAGAATTTCGCATTCACCGGCAAGCTTGCCGGTTGTGGCGCGACCAGCACACTTCCCCGCAGGCGAGGAATTTCTCCTCCCGGGTGTGAGAGGCATTTGAGTCGGGAGACCCACAAAAAAGAAACGACTTTCACCATGGGGAAAGTTGCCCATGGTCATTTGGGGGCCAGAATATTGATCTACCCGTACGTATTGCTCTGATGGAAACTCTTTTAGGGCAAACTGAGGAACAGCGCCGACTTTGAGGGGTACGAAATAACCCACATCCGGCTATGTGTCGGCAGGCCGTTTTTTGTTGTTGTTTTGTTCGCGGTTGAAACAACATGATCCCTGTAGCTTTCCACATTTGATACATCCCTCTACACCGGTCGAAGATAGGAAAGTCAAGCGGGAGCCAAGCAAACCGTTTGGGTTAGATTTTTTCACCCGAACTCCTCTAGGACGAGTCTCACGAGACTTTGCGACAAGGTGCCCCTGTTTAAAGGCCCCTTCTGAGCCTATCAAACGATCCGCGCTCTGCGGAAGTTTGCTCTCGTAGCTTACTTGTGTGCGCGTCCTTTCGTTGGTAAGGGAGGCCAAAGGGAAACCAGCAGTTTTGAGGGTCCAAATCCTAAAAGACTCGTACACATCGTGAAGAACAGGTCGGGGATCTCCCTAATGGTCTGGCGAGCTACTTTTTCCCGGTGATGGTTTTCTTTTTGCAAAGTATCACGGGGAAAAATGCGAACACGTCACTAACATAGGTGTCCTTTTTGGTTGGTTTGCTTGCAAAATAGAGGGCCCTGGTTTATATGGGGTTTATTCCATTTACCAGGGCCATCTATTTTTCCAAAAGGCCACCTATGGTCACTAATGGTTTTTTCTAGGCCCCCTTTTCTGCAATCGCCCCGGGGCTTTTAAAGCACCCCGATTGCAATCGGGGGGGAAAGAGGAGGTCTCGTCAAAGGTCGGCTCGAGCGGAAGTGGATTCGGTTTTGGGGTCGCAGCCAATGGATGTAGGAAGATGACTCGGGCCCACCACAAAGGTTCCCAGGATCCTAAGACTCCCTTCTAAGACTCGGTTTCCTGAGGTGACCTGCCTTTGGCTTCTAACTCAGTGGTCTGAGTAGGTTTGTTCCGGCTCTCGACAAGTACTCGTAGCTAGCTGATCCGATCTCTGAATCGAGGAAATCCGCCAGCGGTCGCCCTGTGACATTCGCTTTGCAAGACCATGTAGCTTGGTGCATTGGCTGTTTAGCTCTTTAGTTGGTTTAGTGGTTGGGTTTGCATTTAACCATCACTTTTCGCAGGGGATCAGAAAACGGGCAGCCCAGTTCTCGTGACTTTCTTTAACCGATTCATTCAGAGCGGTGGGATGCTCTTGGCGAGCGAAGGGCGGATTTCCTCCGCCAAGGGCCAGCGCTTGTTGATCTTGATTGCTATCGGGTAACGGATCTTTGGACTTTAAGCCACCTTTTGGGTTGGTTTCACAGGTGCTTTCTGAATTGAGCCCGCAACAAGTGAGATTTTTGGGGAGGTGTCAACACCAATCAAGTGACGACCGAGCTCTTTTTCCTTCCCCCTGTCACACCTCAGATTTCCGGCGGCCAGTTGCGTGAGTTTTCTGTGTGCAGATTGTGCGCTGGCCACTTGCATTTTGGGTCACGCCTGAAGTGCAGTGCTTCTCTAACCTTGGCATCCCGAGTTCCGGATGCGAAAGTTCAGAAGCTCTGGCGACTGTTTCGGGTGCGCCCTCGAGTGTTTCTGAAGCGGCGCAACGGTTGTAACCTTGCTCATTCCCCTCGCAAATGTCGTTTTTAGGGTACCCCCAAAATGGGCGGGTTTCTTTTTCGGGTGGCCCTTAAAACCCACTCCAAAAGGAGTAGCAACTCCAAAGAACGGCATCCAACTGGGGCCTCCTCCAACATGTCCCCTGTGTTCTGCTCGTTGAAAAGCGATGGGTGCAGCCCAATGGGGGGGGGGGGATATTGGATCCCAGGCAAGTTAAGGGGAAACCAACAGGCTGGTAATAGCAAAGGTTGCACCACCAGACCGGAACACACCTCTCAAGGATAAGCCAAGAATCGTAGGAAACACGGGGTAAAAATGATAAATCTAAACAAGGCTTAGCAGGGGTTTGGTCTGGGGGTCGGTGAGGGAAGTCCTTGATTTAATAGGCCAAGCCAGGATCAAGACCCCAGACCTCTGGTGCCTTGGTTTTCTCCCTTTTGGAGTTGCCCATTTTTGCATGGCCACTGGGGGTCATGTTTGAAGCAATTGGGCCGAGGCTCGAAATGGTGTGCACCATGGCCATGTGGCGCATGCTGGGTGCTTGGACGGGGTCCCCTGTTGGGATGGCTTAACCACCCGGCAGGGGTGAACAGAAGAGCATCTTCGAAGGAATACCGGACATCGGAAGCCATCTGAACGCTCCTAGTGCAACCCCTGAAAAGTGATTCCAGTGAGCTTTTAGCTGTGGATGGAGGTATGGAGCTTACATACACCGCTTTGCTATGTTACACGGTTATTTAGTGGCATATGTTCCACACCTCTTGAACCCTGGAAATCGGTGTCGAATTCTCCAATAAGTACTTCTCAGAAGCTGAGTGCCAGCCGCTCAGAAACACGGCCCTTAAGCTCTTAGCTTCTAGCTGCTGCGCGCGGCTGGAAAAGGTTTGGCGCCCGATTGGAGTGTCGATGCTTGATGCGACGTGCCCTTCCAAAAAGCTCCCCAAACAAGCCTGAACTCGTATCCCCAACAGCTTTCCCCGGCATCCGCCAGGAAGCTGCCTCAGTAGTTTTTTTTTTAGGACCTCCTGTGCAGGTTCTGTGTTCGTTTTTTGAGAAACTGAAGCAGGTTCTTGCAGGATTCCGGGGGAACTGTTGGGGATACTCAAGCTTGTTTGGGGAGCATTGGATATCAAGTCAGGTTGCACTGACATCATGCCAGGGAGGGGAGGGGGGCGGGAGCCCAAATTATATAGCTCTTCAGCCAATCCTTATTTGGGCTCCCTTTTTCCGTTTTTTGGGCCAGGCCCCATGAAGATATGGGGGCATTTGAAGAGAATCCTTTGCCCCGAATCCGTAATTGATTTCTTCCGTCGTGGAGGGGCAGAAAGTTGGTGGTTCCTGTTGGGTTTTTATGGGATTTGGACCTCACAAATTCACCCATGAGCCACGTGCAATCCCAGCCGCGGGTAGATGAAGGTAGGGAAATCCCAGCAGTGGCCTCTTTAATTCTTCACATGGTTCTGGGATGTGCCACTTTTATTCCGATCGGTTTTGATTACTTCGTGGCTCCCGGCCATCCTCTTAGCTTTTTAGCCTTTTGGTGTGTAGTGGTAGTTTCCATTGAACCCACTAAAGGTTGAACTTTTGGCGGGGGATCTGAGGCCAGCCCAGACCACGACTCGTTTGTCGTGTTTTTTTCCCTGCTTCCCTACAGCAACCAAAAGGGGCGGGGGGTCCTTTGGAGCAACTTTGGCGACCTGATCGTGGCCCCCTGTTTCTGGATGCACAGCAGGTCACAACTCAGGCTTTAGGTCTGTTGGTTTCGCGGTTTGGTTTCCATTCAACCCACAAGTTCAACTTTTAGCAGATCAGTTTTGACAAGGTTTGCGAGCAGTTCAACTTTTAGCAGGAAGCCCAGGTTAGCGAAGCTCTATGGAGTTGTTGTGGACAAGTCTGGTTGCAAATTGTAGGATTTGGTTCCCTTGCTGGGGATCTCTGTTCCTGGTTGCTCAATGATTCTGCAGCCGGGTAAATCAGAGAGTCGCCCAGAAATGGAGACAGAGGTACCCAGTTTCTTTTTCTAGCCATTCCCTTGGGGGACATAGCGTGGACGAACTCGGACTTTTTTTTGACAAGGCCTCATTGCGTCGAAAGGCAGGGACGCCACGCTTTGCTATGTGAAATCCTGGCTCCAACTCGAAAATTGTGCATGTGGGAAATAGGTATGGTCAACTTGGAAAGGACATGGAAGGACTCACTAATTTTCGGCACAAGCTAGGGGACTGGTTCTTTCTTGTTTGGACTTGCAAATAAAAAACTCAGTTTGCAGATCATGACAGTCTTGCAGACATGAACGCTTACTTCGCTTGGAAGGCTGCGCTTGGAAGGCTGCGCTCAACAGGGACAACTATGTGTGACGTGGCTCAGACAACGCAGCGGGGGAAAAGGATCAAGGAGGGACCACCCTGATCTTAGAAGCTACATCTTCGACAGATTCATGTTTTGCACCTATTCAACTTTACTCTCAATTCCATTACTTCCAATTTGTGGGACACGTATTGTTCGAGTCCTCTTGGGATTGAATATGGAAACACCATTCACCTCCGTTACTTTGAAAGCCTTTTGTTACCAGTGGCATAGACGGAAACTCATTGAAGCGAAGCCATGCAGGTCACCGCAGAACACGTCGGCCGTCAATCCGCGCCAATCCCATCCCCGGATCGATGGAGCAACGAGGCCGCGCCATGCGCTAAAACGTGGAGCAATGTCTTGGCTTCCAGCCATCTGGTTCCTTGGCTTTTTAGTTTTGTTTGGTTGGTTTAGGGTAGTTTCCACATTTCACCCACTAAAAGTTAGTCACTTTTGGCGGGGGATCTGAAAACAGGCAGCCCAGAATTGAGAGGCTCCGGTTTTGGGGTTTCTAGCGGGTTTCTCGTTCGAGGTTTCCTTCGGGTTTCCTCGCTCTCAATATTGCAAGGGAAGGAACACCTCCAGTTGTGGATTTCCCGGTCTCTGACGGATTTTTGCCCATGGTTCATGCCGAACTTGGGGAACACTTCACTCAGGATGTCACGGGCAAGCAATACTGCTACCACTCTGTTCGCTGAACAAAAAGCTCCAAGTGGGGCAGTGAACTCACTCCTCCCAGGCCTATTCCTTTGAAACATCCGCCCAGGGGCAGAGTTCCACTTCCCGAGTTTCTGGACTTGACACTTTCCGTGAAGATTATTATTTAGTAAACAAAAGCGAGTATGGACTTTTTGGGACCACCCCACTTCCCCAGAATTAGCTCCCCTTTTTTTTGTGTTTTTTTTTGGGGGGGGGTTCCCTTTTTTTCCACTAACCAGGCAAAAAAAGATCCAATTTTTTGCCGGGGCCCTACTTCCAGCCAAGCCCACTCAAGCACGTATTCCCATCTCTCCCCATCCGCCCAGATGTCATCCATTGCTCCAGGAGCCTTGCCGAGGACGGCGCCGACCGACCGACTCAGCCGAACGCGCACGGATCGGATGAAATCAGGGGGGGATGGGGGGGGATGTGGCGTGTGGTTTTTCAGTGCCTCAGGTGTTTTGTTCTGTTTGCGACCAGACAGAGAAGTTGTGAAGTGGATCTCTTTTTGGGGCCGATCCGCGAGAAAAGAACGCCCATGTTCCGCAGATGTTTCAGAGGCTATGTAACCAGAACGGTGTATGGTCCATGTTGATATCGGCCCATGAACCCGGGGCCAGCTGGCCAGGCCCCAATTTTCGTCCCCCCAAAAAACGGCGGTTTTCGTGGGTTTTCAGGTTGGCTTCCCTTCACAAACCACAAGAAAGCGGCACCAAGGGATTTGGGTGTGGGTCAAAATAGGTACCCAAAAAACAACCCTGGTAAATGGACACAGGGACTGAAGCCTGCGGTTCCCCGTGGTTTCATTTTGACCCAAATTTGTGTTCTTCAGCCTGATGGTTCGGATGTTGCCAATGCGGACGGCAACGAGTGGGGAATGAGCGGGGGATTCGTTCCGCGAAAGAATAAAGTCTGAGTCCAACCCCTAAACAGGGATTTTCCCCCTAAATCAACCAGGGTTCTGCTTAAATCTGGAGTCGGCACTATCTCCGCTAAAGGCGTGACATCGCCTTTGTGGCTAGAGGATTTGTTGGTTTCCTTCAGGCTGAGAAGCCAAGCCTCGCTGCTTCCGTTAGGCATTTGAAGCGGCGAGGCATCGGTTTCTTGCGAGGACACTCAGATGGAAATCGCCAGATCTAGTCATGAGATCACGGGGCGAAAACCAGACTTCTTGCCAGTTATTCTTATTAACTCGGTTACTGTTGGGACACATTTTAGATTTTGGCTTATTGTGGTGTAGTGGTTGAAATCCAACCACTTAACTGGTAACATTTTGCGATTTGTGCTCCCCTTTCAACGTCGACCAAGTCAACACCCGAAAGCAGAGATCGCCGAATCTCCCGAGTCGCGACTCATTCAGGAGCTGCGCGCTGGGCGTTTTGCTGATTCTGCCCTACGCCTACCAGGCGAGGGGCATTGGAAACCCCAGCCGTCCGGTTCAGCTTAGGTGGCTGTGGTTCAAATTTAAGGAGCGAGGGTTAGGAAAGGTTGTAGTGGCAAGGGGCCATTTTGGGTACCATTTTCTGAGCCGCAGCCAGGTGTTTAGACCCTTTTTCCCGAAAGCATGGCGAAGGGTTCTTCCGCTGGGTTCACTTGAGTTGTTCTCATGAGAGTCATTACAAGGTGTCAATGCAAGGAATCAGCATCATGAAAGTCATTGCAAGGAGTCATTGCAAGGAATCATCATCATGAAAGTCATTGCAAGGAGTCATTGCAAGGAGTCATTGCAAGGAGTCATTGCAAGGAGTCATTGCAAGGAGTCATTGCAAGGAGCAAGGAGTCATTGCAAGGAGTCATTGCAAGGAGTCATTGCAAGGAGTCATTGCAAGGAGTCATTGCAAGGAGTCATTGCAAGGAGTCATTGCAAGGAGTCATTGCAAGGAGTCATTGCAAGGAGTCATTGCAAGGAGTCATTGCAAGGAGTCATTCATTGCAAGGAGTCATGGCAAGGATTGCAACTTGCACTTGACTCCTTGCAATTGCAACTTGCACTTGACTCCATGCACTTGCAACTTGCACTTGACTCCATGCACTTGCAACTTGCACTTGACTCCATGCACTTGGCTCCTTGCACTTGGCTCCTTGCACTTCCTTGCACTTGCAACTTGCACTTAACTCCGTGCACTTGCGACTTGCACTTGACTCCATGCACTTGGCTCCTTGCAACTTGCAATGGCTCTCATGACTCCTTGCAATGACTCCTTGCAATGACTCCTTGCAATGAATGACTCCTTGCAATGACTCCTTGCAATGACTCCTTGCAATGACTCCTTGCCATGACTCCTTGCAATGACTCCTTGCAATGACTCCTTGCAATGACTCCTTGCAATGACTCCTTGAAACAAGCAAGGAGTCAAGTGCAAGTTGCAAGTGCAAGGAGTCAAGTGCAATTGACTTGCGAGGAGTTAAAATCTCTTCTTAGGGCGGCGGGGTAGTGCCGACGACACTACACGAAAATCGACCCTCTGCGGGGATCGGCGTGGTCGAGGTGCAAAAACCCATGGTTTTTTGCGATTTCTAAAGTTCCCGCGCGACCCTCTGCGGGGATCGGCGTGGTCGAGGTGCAAAAACCCATGGTTTTTTGCGATTTCTAACCTGCTCGCGCGACCCTCTGCGGGGATCGGCGTGGTCGAGGTGCAAAAACCCATGGTTTTTTTGCGATTTCCTGCTCGCGCGACCCTCTGCGGGGATCGGCGTGGTCGAGGTGCAAAAACCCATGGTTTTTTGCGATTTCTGCGGTGCTCGCGCAACCCTCTGCGGGGATCGGCGTGGTCGAGGTGCAAAAACTCGAGGTTTTTTGCGACTTTTGTTGTTCGAACTGGTCCTCGGGAGTTGTCTCGTGGTTCGCGCGCCTGCTCCCGGAACCGGCGGGTCGCGGGTTCGATTCCTCCCTGGTCCGCGGGCGGGCGTCGCAAGATGCAACTTGCATTTTAAAGCAACTTGCGCAGAGCAACTTGCGCAGAGCAAGTTGCACAGAGCAACTTGCGCAGACCAACTTGCACCGACCAGTTTGCGCAGAGCGCCTTGCCTAGAGCAACTTGCGCAGAGCAACTTGCGCAGAGCAACTTACGCAGAGCAACTTGCACAGAGCAACTTGCACAGAGCACCTTGCCTGGTGCTGTCTCGCGCTTGCTTCACGAATGCTTCGTGTAGGGAAAAAGAACGCATCCTGCAGCGTTGCAGACCTCGCTTGCGATGTTCTGCTTTCGGGCCAACCATGGTCTAGTTAGTTGGTGAAGAGTGGGGTGTGCGTATGCAACCCACTGAACGTGTTTCGTCACTTTTCGCAGGGGATCAGTTTTTTTTTACAGCCCAGGTTGTGCGTGTCACCTAGGGACATGAACCCAACCACTACTGCTGGCAGGCGTGACCACAGTGCTTGTGAACAACTTGTGAACAATGTGGGTGTGGAACTTGTCAAAATGAAACCACCAGGAATTGGACCGCAGGTTCTAGTCCATGTTTCCATAAGGTTCCATTTTGGGTATCTATTCTTGACCCACAGCCATGTCCATCATCTCGAAGGCTGGCTGCCGGCCTGCTCTGCATTGCTGCATGGAAGCCAACCTGAGCTTACAGCTGCTTAGTGGCTTCCCTTCTTCCCCTTCCAGTTTGGTGGGCTTTTCGCTGGTGGGTTGAAACCCAAAACTGAACCGCCACGAATCTCGGTTGATTGCAATTTGTAATTACCTTTCGGGCTTGCGTATGGAGATCAAGGAAGCACTCCAGAAGAAACTGCCATTGGAATGGCTCGACATGTGAGCGAGGTGTTTGATCTTTGTCTCGGGGACCTATGTATGTGGCTGAATGAGTAAGCTTGGAGGATTTGGGGGGGGGTTGGTCTCCATTTGAGCACCTCTCTTTCAAAGCCAGTGCAGCCATTTCGGGTTTTTCGGGTTCTTAGGGGTCCTTCAAGTGCAGTCTTGGCTTTGACGGTCTTGCCACGTATCGACCTTTTCACTTTGATCCGGTCCCCTGGGCTCGGGCTTGGGACTGGAAGGGCGTCCGTTCTGACGGAAGCCCGCGGAAGCGGACGGGTTTCAAGGGAGCGCCGAACGGAGACTTGCCTCTTAAAAACACGAAACTTTTCGTAACTTGTTGGGTAACATGGGCTATATGTCTGTAAAAGATGAGAACTTCCCCAGGGCGCAAGGAGTTTTGAGGGGTAAGGAAAGGACACCATTTTCAGGGGTCTCCCAACAAAAACGAGTTGATGCGCTCGAACGGCTGGTTGGTTCTGAAATGAAAGCAGCCGAAAGCACCGAGGGTTTTTGAGTTCGAACGCTTTCTTCTAGATTTGGCTGGCGCAAGGACCCGTTAGGAGATTCCTTTTCCAGCCCAAAATCAGCGAAGGGACAACGATGGTCCCTTTGCTTGGGGTATTCCTTCTCCATGGGTTACCATAGGGTGGTCCCCAAGGTGACCTTGTGGAACAATAGATGGGTTCCCCTAGTAAATGGTGCATAAACCCAAACCAAGCACTAAACTTAAAAAGGACACCTATAATGGTCCCTGTCTTGAATTTCTTTTCCATGGACACGTTGAATTACGCCAAGTTGGAAGGTTCCTGAGAGCTTGACTCCCTTTTCCCTGGGTCACCGGATGGTCTCCACACATGACCTGCTGGTCCCCTGTTGGGAAGACGAACCTGTACAATCAATTTTACTTCAACTGACCAATCAAAAGGACCCTATTGTGGGTGGGCAGAATCCTGCACCAGTTGGTAGATGGTTTACCCCGACATTTATGGAGTTTTATCCGTCCCAACTGGTGCGAACTGCATCTGTCTATCCATATGATGGTCGCTATGTTTATTTTTTCTTTTTTCTTGGTGGTGCTCAAGGGAATGAGAAATGGAATGACCCGTGTAAACCATCCCACAAGTGGTTTCCTTTAAGGGACCCCTGGGTTCATTCCATTTCTCATTCCCTACCTATCGCATCAGCAAGTTTCCATTGACACGGGATCCCAATGGTCTCGACACAGCTAGGCCTTCCTAGCGCCGAGCGCTCGGAGCGCTCTGAGCTCGCGGAGCTCGCGCCTGGCGCGGCGGGCGGAGGTGCGGGGAGGTTTTGGGGAGGGCGAGGGAGCCGACGAAAGACGGCCGATCTGTGTGTAAACTGCGGAAATCTCAAAGATACCTACAAAATAAGGTGGTTGGTCCTTTCTTTCTTTATGTGTGTGTGTGTGTGTTTTCTTCTGTTCTTCTTTTGTTCTTTTCTTCTTTTCTTATTTTCTTCTTTTCTCCTTTTCTCGTTTTTTGTTTGTTTGGGTGGGGAGAGGGCTCCAAGGAATGTCCTATGTTGTTGGCATCTTCACAACCTTCCCCCGAAAACAAACAAGTGAGTCCCTTGAATACGACGACTCTCCTCTAATAGGGGGCCCTGTTTGACATTTCTTTTTTTTGGAGGGAGTGGCTTGTGCTTTTTGAGGCTCGGTACCCTGGGGGAAACCGGCCGTTGGGGTCCGAAATTGCATCTGATTTTCCCTTGGGACCCTTTTCGGCACATCATTTCCATAGGGAAGTTCTCTTCACCACGCCTTTTTGGAGCGTCCCCACGAAAGGCCCCCGACCCCAACATCCCCTCGCCAACGCCCCCCCCCCCCCACACCCCCCCCCTCCCCGGCTTGGAGGCGTCTGGCCCCGTGGGCGACTGGGTGGAGTGCGAGATCTCGCGCCTTTGCTTGGCCTAGCAGGGCCTTGCGTGAGGGAACGAGTTGGGTTTTTGGGGGGGCACGTGGTTTTTGTTTGGGGAAAGAGTTGGGTTTTTGGGGGGACAAGTGGTTTTTGGTTGGGGGACAAGGGGTTTTATGGGAAAGAGTTGGGTTTTTTGGGGGACAAGTGGTTTCTGGTTGGGGGACAAGGGGTTTTTTGGGGAAAGAGTTGGTTTTTGGCCTTTTGGTTTTTAGGGGCCATGCACATCAATGGCTTGGCTTCTTTCAGGGCTACAAGGGTGTCTTTTTTGGCTTGGAGCCATTCTGGTGGGTTTAGAAGGGGAAGCCAAAAAGGGAAACCGTTGCCATAGGGGTTCCTTCATTTGGGCGTGGGGAAAGAGAATCAACCGAGAATTGGACCGCAGGTTTGAGTTTTGTCCATTCGTCAGGGTTCCATTTTGGGGGTTACCCGCTTCTTGACCCACGGCCGGCCTTCTTGGGTTTCCCTTTAGGTGTGTGCCGAAATGGCACGGAACATGGAAACATGGACTAAAGCCGATCCACAACCCCCCGGTCTTTAGCTTTTGAGCCACAGAACATGGACGTCCTTTTGATCCATTCGGAAGTAGAATAGATGGGTTCGACAGGTTTAGACTAGGTTTCAATTGGTTACACGTGGGTGTGGCAAACCTTTTCCCGCTTACGTTCTTGGGGAAACAAGACCGTTGGGATCCTGTGTCAATGCAACATCATTTCAGGAAGGCGGGGACCATTTCATACGTGTGCGCCTACCCCGAAATGGGATACCATTGGTGTGGACGGCCATATTCCGGGCAGGGCAGCTCATTCCCGGCTCTTGAAGGTCGGTATGAATGAATGAAGGTCGGTAAGGATCGAGTGTTCCAGAGGCCACCAAAAAATCTGGGTGTCTTGGTTTTGGGCGGTTGGGTGTTTGTAGCTTTTTCGCTTATTTAAGTTGGTTTAGTGAATGTTTACCCCTGATTCAGACGCCCGGTTCTCACTTCATCCGATGCGATCCAACAACCAGCACCTGCTCCAAGGCTTGTTCCGCACAAATGATTGGGCCCGGGGAGGTGGGAGACATCGCGGGATGAGACAAAGAGCACGCAAGGCATATTGGGTCAAAACCCAAAGGTTATCCCCCAGTGAACCTCCGATTCAATCCAACCACTAAAATAGGTAACCTAAAAGAAGTGGTCACCAACCAACCAAAATGGGATCCCACCAACCACTAAATCGACTAAAATGGGTGCATTCGCCTCCCCCGAAATGGGATCCCATTGGGACGGCCATATTCCGGGCACAGCTTCCCGGCTTGGAGGTCATGAATGAAGGTCGGTAAGGATCGAGTGTTGAGGCCACCGAAAAATCATGGGTGTCTGTAGCTTTTTAGCCTCTTGGTTGGTTCAGTGGTTGGGCGTTTGTAGCTTTTTCGCGTTTTTTTTTACGCTGGTTGAGTGGTAGTCTCTCCATATTTCACGCAAAAAAGTTCGGTCACTCGCGGGGGATCAGATCGAGACACCTGGCCGGAGGGCCCCGGTCTCTGAAGGCTTGGGGTCTCTACTTAAAGGGGCGATCGGGTACTTAGTAAGTGGTTAGTAACCGTGCTTATAACCCACTCATGGTTATAAGTCTCCGTTCAGTGGGTTATAACCATAGTTACTAGCCACTTACTAAGTACCCGATCGCCCCTTTAAGCAGTCTCCAGGCTTCGGAGCGATAGTCCAGGGGTCATCGAACTGACCCTTTGACTCGGAGCGGGGCTCAAATTGGAAGGGCGGGCTTCTTGTTTTTTTTGTTTTTTTTCCGCCAGACTCAGCTCAGCCCTTCAACTTGATGCACTTTTGCTTTCCAGGTGCCCAGTGGATTCCACCGCTTTCCACTTGCTTTGGGGTTTGCTCCCCTGTAAAGTCCACCAACAAGAAAGCCGGATGCCCTTCTTCTGCGGATTTCCACATGGAAATCCGCTGAGCATCTGAGAGCAAAAAGCCGTCGTCGAGGTACACGCCCACCATCTCCGTCCACCACTCCGTGGTGGAGCCGAGGCGTAGCGCCCCTCGAAAGGATCCGACAAAACATACGCGGGCGGCGGGTGAGAGACTGTTTTTGGCTCAACATGGAGGCCCCCTTCTGCCAATTGCTGAAATGGACTTGTTTGATTCTTCCTGTTGGTTTTCAAGGGAAGCGATTTGTCACTGCGGGATTTTCCTGGGGACTTGCGGCTTTTTGGTTGGTATTTGCCAGGGAAACCAAACACAACTCACCAACCATTCTAGCAAATGGACCGAATATCCAATTGAGAAACAGATGCGTTTTTTGTTTCGACCGGCTTCCTGTCAGTCGGACTCCGGGCTGGGACGGGGAAAGAGTTTTGAGTCCAAACTTTCGCGAGGCGGAAATCCAAGGGGCTTTGGTGGAGGCTGGGAGGGAAAGTCCCTTCAACCTCAACTATAACACGGTGCCACCTTCCCCTGGCCCAAGAAAGGGTCGCGAGTTTCTGGCGACCCCCCAGAACAAGTGGTGTGTTGAACTTGTTTCCCTTTTGTCAATTCAAGGCACCGACTTAGGAATGATCAACCAAAAGATCCCCAAACCTTCTATTGGAGACCTTTGCCAAAAGCAAGCTGAGCTTTTGGGCCAAGAGAGGTGCACGCGATTCACATAGTTTGACCCACGCGCAAGTCGAATCGCGTCACCGTGGTCTTGCCACAACGAAGTATGTATGCGCTTCTGCCACAAAATCAACCAGTGCTGCTCTCCCCCACCGCGAAAACACACCTTCTACCCCGTGAACATCGTGCTCTTCGCACAGCTCGAATGCCACCGTATTGATGCAAATGCTGATGCCCTTGCCAGCAAGCACAGGCCCCGTTCAAGGCTTTCTTCCAGATCGAGCAGTACAGGACAATGATGTTCCTCCTTTTTGCCCCATTGGAATATATGGTTTTCACCACTGCTTTTCCATCGTGGTCATGCTGCATGCCCATGATCCTCAGAACTGGCAAAGCACGGCTCGAACCTATGCCATGTCCCCTCATAGTTCGTGCACTCTTACCCTTCTTTGGGGGAGGGTTCCCCTACTAAAATAGACTGCAGAAAAAGGGTACCCTTATTCTAACCTCTCTACTGGAGGACCTAGTATGAACACCGTGCACCTGAGACGATCCAGCCTGAAGCATTCGGTTGGTGAAGGTAACCAGCCCAAAGCACGGATTTTTAGGGTTTAGTGGGGGTGTCCGTATTTAACACACTAGGAGGAGATCTGAACATGGGCAGCCCAGAAATGACAACAGGGGGGCCAATCAAAAGGGGGAACATTTGCATATTCCCTTCATCCACCACCCTTGATGCGTCCACCAACCACGTTCAAGGCGGCTCCCAACTGCAATTCATACGCATATGTGCCATGGTCAAAAGACCTGTGCCTTTACTTGGGCTTAGGGATGGTCAATTAGGGCCATGACCTGTGCCCTTTACTATGGCTCTAGAAAAGAAAAAAAAACGGGGAAAACCGGAGAACCGCATGTAAAACACATGAATAAGCCGGGCACCTTTACCAGGGGTTAACAGGGATGGTCATCCTGGTCAGGATCCTTGACCATTATAATTATAACGATCAGGGAGCCATGGCCACATGCCAAACAAACGTGGGGTTCTAGGGTCCCGTCCCTCCGGAGAAAACCGGGGAAAACCGAAGAAAACACGTAAAACACGCGGGAAAACCCGTTTGCCTTGCGCCAAGCTAAACAAACGGAGCTTCGACGCGTCACCCGTCGAAAGCCGAGGATGTGTACATCTTCCACAAGCGGCAGCTGCAGGAGGACTTTGGACACCTCTACGCAAAGCTCGGCTTCACCGTTTCGGCCGGTTTTTTTTTGGGCCGGGCGTTTCGGTCGGCGTGGTTTGTTTGATTTTTGTGTATTTCTTATTGGTGAATTTTGTTTTTTGGGGGGCTGTGTTGGTGTTGTGCTTGTGTTCTTGTGTGCTTGTGTGTTTGTTTGTGTTTGTTTGTGTTTGTTCGTGTTTGTTTGTTTGTTTGTCTGTCTGCCTGTCTGTTTGTTTGTTTGTTTGTTTGTATGTTTGCCTGTTTGTTCGCCTGTTTGCTTAATTTATTTGATTGCTCGATTGATTGATTGAATGATTGATTGATTTGAATTGATTTGATTTTGATTTGATTTGACTTGATTGGATTGATTAATTTTTTTGATTGTTTGATTGAGCGATTGATTGTTTCATTGATTGAGTGATTGATTGATTGATGGGATTGGATTGGATTGGATTGAATTGGATTGATTGATTGAATGATTGATTGATTTGATTTGATTGATTGATTGATTGATTGATTGATTGATTGTTTGATTGAGCGATTGATTGTTTCATTGATTGAGTGATTGATTGATTGATGGGATTGGATTGAATTGGATTGAATTGTATTGATTGATTGAATGATTGGTTGGATTTGATTGATTGATTGATTGATTGATTGATTGATTGATTGATTGATTGATTGATTGATTGATTGATTTATTTATTTATTTATTTATTTATTCATTCATTCATTCATTTATTTATTTATTTATTTATTTGATTTGATTTGATTTGATTTGAGTTGATTTTAGTCGATTTGATTTGATTTGATTTGCTTTGATTTGATGGATTTATTGGTTGGTTGGTTGGTTGGCTGGTTGATTGCCTGATTGGTTGATTGATTGCTTGCTTGCTTGATTGATTGATTGCTTGATTGATTGATTGATTGATTGATTGATTGATTGATTGATTTAGTGGTTGGTTGGTGGGTGGGTGGGTGGGTTGGCGGGGTTGGGTTGATTGGTTGGTTGGTTGATTGGCTGGCTGGCAGGCTGGCCGCATGGTAGTTTGGGTTTTGGGTTTTTGCTTGTTGGGGTGTTTGGTGTTTTACTTTTTCTTTTTTTGTGTCGTTGGTTGTTTGTTTTAGCTATGCCTGTTTTTGTTCTTGTTTTTTGTTTTGTTGTTGTTTTAACGTGAGTTTCCTGTTGGGGTGATGTTTGCTGGTTGGAAATACATTTGCACCCCTGCACAGGGCCTGATGTACAAAGACGTGAAGACCCACTGTCGCGAGCCGGAGACTTGCTGGCACAAGCGGGATGTGAGATCTGGACACGCGAGGCATGCTTGCGTGATTCACGCGTTTTTGTCTTGGACCCAGCGGCAGCACTAGCTCCTTTTCCGGGTTCAGGATCCCGCAGAGTGACTGCCCCATCCCCAAACCGCACTCAGGGTTTTGGGGATTGGCATCCAGGGTGTGGGAATTCCATGGAGTTACGGCAGAGATTCTGTGGGGGATTTTTTGAAAGGCGCTGAAAGCCCCTCTCGGCATGACGATCCGAATCGGCTCAACCCGAGGATATTCCAAGAATTTTCGCACCTCAGAATTCGGGGACATCAATCCCACGACCCACGGCTCCTGTCACCTGTCCACGCACATGGAAACCACCAGAGAGTCCCTGTTGAAGGAACATAATTTGTCTTCCAGGCCCCCGTCAGTCAGGTTCCATGTTGGAGAGGTGGGTATCTGATGTCTGGTGGGACCGGTTTCCCCTTGCCGGGGGCTCAATTTCTCAGCCGATGAGTGGTAGTCAAACGGGGAGTTACTGTACGGAACAGGGACGTAAATACATGGTATGTGAGTATGGGTCGTTCTTTTTCATGTTCCCTTCAAAGCCAAAAAGCAAGGTACCCTTCCATTTGCTTGAGAATACCCCTTTTTTCCCCTGTTGGTGTTGAATGGAATCTATCACTACTGGACATATTGTTATTTTTTGCTTTTGACTTCAGCAAATGGAGGTACCCGCAAAGGAAACAGAAGAAAGGCGACATCCCATTGTATATGGGGTATGGGTTCTAAATTTTGTACTACCCCCAAAAGTGGCTCTAGTTTCCTGTTGGTTTCCCTTTCAAACCAAAAAAGTCCAGGTACCCACAAAAAGAAAGACTTTTTTTCCTACTACCCCAAACCAAGAATCCAGGTACCCACAAAAGAAAGAGATACCTCCAAAAGTGGTTCTCGTTTTCTGTTGGTTTCCCTTCAAAATCAAACTCCAGGTTCCCACAAAAGAACGATGTTTTTTTCCTACCACCCCCAACAGTGGTTCTAGTTTCCGGTTTTTTGTTTAACCAAAAGACAAGGTCCCCACCAAAGAAAGACGAGCCTCGCTCCACATGTCCAGGAAGGCCTGGTGGGGCAGTGCAGCGACTGCTTCAAGTTCTTCTTCGGGGGGGCCATCGGCTTCACAGGCACCACCAGCCCCAAGTACTACGACCGCCAGCAGGTGGGCGTGCAGGCGAGGCGCAGCATGGGGGAAGGGCTTTCGGTGGGGGGGGGAGGGCTTTCGGGGTGGAGGGGGAAAGGCTTTGGTGGGGGGGGTGAGTGGAGGGGGGGGCGGGGGAGGGGGTGGGGCTTTGTGGAGGGAGGGAGCGGGGGCGGTGGAGGGCGTGGGGGGCTTTGGCGGGGGTGGGGGGGGAATTGGTTGAGCGGGGCGTTTTGGGGGCGGGTGAAGTCTTCTCAGGAGTGCGTGGGGGACACCATGCGGCTCTACGAAGAGGCCAACGCCATTCCGGACCGGAGACTTGAAAGCAAAAAAACTAAAACGCCGGTGGTCGAACGTTGACAGCCAAAGCGGTTCCCCTGCTAAAATAGACCACAGAAAAAGGGGTACCCTTACTCTGACCTCTCAAATCTGGAGGACTAGTCCATGTCGCGAAGAATTGGACAAAGGGACACTTTCTCCAACATGGAACCCAAAAGCGGCGGCAAAAGCACCGCGCTGGTTCACCTGGCTTTGTGCGCACGGCACCACACCCATGGCTTTTCAGGAATGGGAGAAGTCAGCGAGCGAGTGAACAAAAGGTTTCCGTCGTTTCCATTGGAATGACGATAATTTGTGGTCCGGCATTTCTGGGAGCGGTCTGTGTGTGGTTAAACCCCTTGACAGGTCCTGCCTGCGGCTTCCCCTGAGATTTCGGCATCTTGATGGCATTTCTTTTTTGCTGAAGATGAGCAGTGGATTTTAAACTCCTTAGACAACTTTGTTTGGTTGGGTTTCTTCGTACTCACCCAATGCTCACTTCATGGTTGTTGTTGGGCAACATGTTACATTTTTGCTTATTGTGGATTAGTGGTTGAAATCCAACCACTTAACGGCTGAAATGTGTTTTTGTTGCTCCCCTTCCAACGTCCACCAAGGTAGAAGGATGCACCAAATAAGGCTCACCCATGGACTCCCTTAGCAGCGGGTAGGGGTAGGGGTGGACCCCCAACCTTGATGAGACAATGAGTTGTTTTTCTCGCCCCATGCCCGATTCTCGCGCTTGGCAGCTCAGGAGCCGGCCGGACATGTCGATCTGGTGCATGAAGGAAGGCGTACATGCGTAAAGCCATTCCGACGAGTTATGCAAACATAGCAATCTTCACGCACGCATAGATTTATATAGAGAGAGTTCTACAAATACACAGAACAACTTATTATTACATGAACACATGATGTTAATGAAGGTTTTTAGCTTGACATAAGTTGAAATCACCTAGAACGATACACTAATATGTCATCACATATTTACGAAAGCTAGCAAGGTTTTAGTATAACTATGTATATTTCAATGTGTTTGTGCCACAGCACGTATGCATATGTGCTACGTATATATATATATATTAGTAGGTGTGTTCAAACGACATAGCTGAGTGTTACAATATATATATATATGTATGTATGTATGTATGTATGCATGTATGTATGTATGTATGTATGTATGTATGTATGTAATGTATGTATGTATGTAATGTAATGTAAGGTAATGTAAGGTAATGTAATGTAATGTAAATGTAATGTAATGTAATGTAATGTAATGTAATGTAGTGTAGTGAAAGGTATGTATGTATGTATGTAATGTATGTATGTAATGTAATGTAATGTAATGTAAATGTAATGTAAATGTAATGTAGTGTAGTGTAGTGTAGTGTAGTGTAGTGTAGTGTAGTGTAATGTAATGAATGTATGTATGTAATGTAATGTAATGTAATGTAATGTAATGTAGTGTAGTGTAAGTGTAATGCAATGAATGTATGTATGTATGTATGTAATGTAATGTAATGTAATGTAATGTAATGTAATGTAATGTAATGTAATGTAATGTAATGTATGTATGTAATGTAATGTAATGTAATGTAACGTAATGTAAGGTAAGGTAAGGTAATGTAATGTAATGTAAATGTAATGTAATGTAATGTAATGTAATGTAATGTAATGTAATGTAATGTAGTGTAGTGTAGTGTAAGGTATGTATGTATGTATGTATGTATGTATGTATGTATGTATGTATGTACGTAATGTATGTATGTATGTAATGTATGTATGTATGTGTATGTATGTATGGATGGATGTAATGTAATGTAATGTAATGTAATGTAATGTAATGTATGTATGTAATGTATGTATGTATGTATGTATGTATGTATGTATGTATGTATGTATGTATGTATGTATGTATGTATGTATGTATGTATGTATGTATGTATGTATGTATGTATGTATGTATGTATGTATGTATGTATGTATGTATGTATGTATGTATGTATGTATGTATGTATGTATGTATGTATGTATGTATGTATGTATGTATGTATGTATGTATGTATGTATGTATGTATGTATGTATGTATGTATGTATGTATGTATGTATGTAATGTGTATGTATGTAATGTAATGTAATGTAATGTAATGTAATGTAATGTAATGTAATGTAATGTAATGTAATGTAATGTAATGTAATGTAATGTAATGTAATGTAATGTAATGTAATGTAATGTAATGTAATGTAATGTAATGTAATGTAATGTAATGTAATGTAATGTAATGTAATGTAATGTAATGTAATGTAATGTAATGTAATGTAATGTAATGTAATGTAATGTAATGTAATGTAATGTAATGTAATGTAATGTATGTATGTAATGTAATGTAATGTAATGTAATGTAATGTAATGTAATGTAATGTAATGTAATGGTAATGTATGTATGTATGTATGTATGTATGTATGTATGTATGTATGTATGTATGTATGTATGTATGTATGTATGTATGTATGTATGTATGTATGTATGTATGTATGTATGTATGTATGTATGTATGTATGTATGTATGTATGTATGTATGTATGTATGTATGTATGTATGTATGTATGTATGTATGTATGTATGTATGTATGTATGTATGTATGTATGTATGTATGTATGTATGTATGTATGTATGTATGTATGTATGTATGTATGTATGTATGTATGTATGTATGTATGTATGTATGTATGTATGTATGTATGTATGTATGTATGTATGTATGTATGTATGTATGTATGTATGTATGTATGTATGTATGTATGTATGTATGTATGTATGTATGTATGTATGTATGTATGTATGTATGTATGTATGTATGTATGTATGTATGTATGTATGTATGTATGTATGTATGTATGTATGTATGTATGTATGTATGTATGTATGTATGTATGTATGTATGTATGTATGTATGTAATGTATGTAATGTATGTATGTATGTATGTATGTATGTATGTATGTATGTATGTATGTATGTATGTATGTATGTATGTATGTATGTATGTATGTATGTATGTATGTATGTATGTATGTATGTATGTATGTATGTATGTATGTATGTATGTATGTATGTATGTATGTATGTATGTATGTATGTATGTATGTATGTATGTATGTATGTATGTATGTATGTATGTATGTATGTATGTATGTATGTATGTATGTATGTATGTATGTATGTATGTATGTATGTATGTATGTATGTATGTATGTATGTATGTATGTATGTATGTATGTATGTATGTATGTATGTATGTATGTATGTATGTATGTATGTATGTATGTATGTATGTATGTATGTATGTATGTATGTATGTATGTATGTATGTATGTATGTATGTATGTATGTATGTATGTATGTATGTATGTATGTATGTATGTATGTATGTATGTATGTATGTATGTATGTATGTATGTATGTATGTATGTATGTATGTATGTATGTATGTATGTATGTATGTATGTATGTATGTATGTATGTATGTATGTATGTATGTATGTATGTATGTATGTATGTATGTATGTATGTATGTATGTATGTATGTATGTATGTATGTATGTATGTATGTATGTATGTATGTATGTATGTATGTATGTATGTATGTATGTATGTATGTATGTATGTATGTATGTATGTATGTATGTATGTATGTATGTATGTATGTATGTATGTATGTATGTATGTATGTATGTATGTATGTATGTATGTATGTATGTATGTATGTATGTATGTATGTATGTATGTATGTATGTATGTATGTATGTATGTATGTATGTATGTATGTATGTATGTATGTATGTATGTATGTATGTATGTATGTATGTATGTATGTATGTATGTATGTATGTATGTATGTATGTATGTATGTATGTATGTATGTATGTATGTATGTATGTATGTATGTATGTATGTATGTATGTATGTATGTATGTATGTATGTATGTATGTATGTATGTATGTATGTATGTATGTATGTATGTATGTATGTATGTATGTATGTATGTATGTATGTATGTATGTATGTATGTATGTATGTATGTATGTATGTATGTATGTATGTATGTATGTATGTATGTATGTATGTAATGTATGTATGTATGTATGTATGTATGTATGTATGTATGTATGTATGTATGTATGTATGTATGTATGTATGTATGTATGTATGTATGTATGTAATGTATGCAATGTATGTATGTATGTAATGTAATGTAATGTAATGTAATGTAATGTAATGTAATGTAATTTAATGTATGTATGTATGTATGTATGTATTTATGTATATGACACATGAAACATATATGAACTTAGTTTGATTGAGTTACTGTATTATGCGGCTTTAGAATGTGGTTACCTGATATGTTAACATCAATATATTTTCTGGGATTTCACATGTTTTTTGCATTATACTTTGCGTTTTGCTCACTGTAATGCGTCTAAATTATCCATGGATTTTACCTGCCATGTGCAGAAGAGACACAGTAAGCTAAAGACATACATAGCCAAGCAAAGACACATAGCCAAGGCATGTAAACAGACATAGCCAAGCAAAGCCAAGCAATGATACAGGCATCATTGTTTCAACAAATCGTAGGAACGCGAGGGGAACATCGACAAAAAGGGCGGGCGCGGATGAGCTCTGCTTGGAATCTGGGCGGAGTGGGCGTATTGGATGGCCGAGCGTTTGCTTGGGCACCTCCTTTGCGCGCTTTCGGGTGCTGAGTGTTAACCACTGGGTGTTTAGTCGATTTGCAATCGAACTCGTTCAACATCGTAGTAGCAAATTCCACCTGGAACACTTCGTAGGTCTACAAGGTTGAGCTGCCTTGTTATCCCTGCAATGCTGTTCCTCGAGTTACTCCCAAGATTGGCGGTTCGGATTGGTGGTTGTTGTTGGGAAACATTGTACATTTTTGCTTATTGTGGTTTAGTGCTTGAAATCCAACCACTCAACAGCTAAAACTTATTTTTTTGCTCCCCTTCCAACGTCAACCAAGGATTGGTGGTCGGCAATCGAAGCCCTGGTTCTCGAGAGGAAATGGGATTTCTTCCCAGAGCAGCTGAAAACCACCGATTCGGCTCCAACGAGCGGAAGTGGAGTTCCCTGGGTGACATGTTGCCCCATACGACGGGTCAACAGGCATTCTTACCTTCCGCTTGGTGAATATGTTTTTTTGTTCTTTCCCCTTGTAGGTTTTACAGAACATCTATCACTACTGGAGATGTTTCATTTTCCCAGGGACTTGAGCGAATGAAAGTTACTTGGGCTCGGGTGCGCAGAGCTTTCTTGACGATCTGCTACACGGCTCAAGTCTTGTGCCACCTGCTCCCGACCCAGGGGGCGGCCGGCAGCAGACGCCAAAAGGGCAAGCGCTTTTCAGCTTCTTTTTTTTTGCTTCCGGTGCCATGGCATCGCTCGTGGCCTTTTTCCTTGTCGCGAGCGCCATGTCGGCGGAAGGGTCGATAGGCCCAGGCGGGTCGCCGGAATGCCCGTGTGTGGAGCCCAACAAGACGGAGTACGGGTTCGGGTGCCAGGCGCACGACCTGAACAGCACCGAGTTCGACCCGGTTTCATGGCTTTTTTGTTGGGCCTGTAGCCATCCAACTTGTTGTTGTTTTTTTGGGGGTACCCCCCGATGACTCACAAGCAGGGTTGTGGGAAATGGAATCCACTTCTGCAGAACAAACAGGGCTTCCCAAAGACGAATTCACCAAATGAAGGGCGAGATTCGCGAAGGTATCACAGAAGTGGTTGGAGAACCCCCGAGTGACCCCGCAACCCAGATCACAAGTATCGGGCCCCTCCCCCAATTGGAGCTTTGGATTGGTGGTTCAGCAGGGGTCCCCATATTTCCCTTTTTGGTGGTTCTAAACAGCACCTTTTGGCCCATGAAAGGTGAGTGTTTATTGGCGGGTGTGATGCTTTAAGCGGAAATATAGGGAGCCCTGACCAGGGATTTGAACGGGCCCCTGGCTCTAGAGAAGAACCAGCCCAAGCCACATCACCGGGCTCCAAACCTGGCGCTCGCAGCTCACCTTGCCCAGCACCACGCCGTTGCCTCTCCCCGAAAAGACCCAAACCCCTTTGCTTGAGTCAAAAGGGATCCTCCAAGAAGCACATGGGTGTGGCTCAAAATTGAACGATCCGAGGGGCAAACCGCAGGTTTTGGCAACCATGTTTCCACTCAACAATCGGGCAACCCATTTTGGAATTTCCCGGTTTTTGGTTTGCCACAGCCACATGGAAGCACCGGGCTCACTGGGCCCGTACCAAGTAGAAGACCTGCGGCGGACCAACTCGGAACTCGGCGCCAAGGCTTGTATAGCGGTTGCTCCGCCCGATTGGTGCAGCTCGAAGTGGTGCTATGTGAGCAGGACCGGCCATGCTCCCCACATCTTCCATTTGCTGAAACATGTTTTTGTATTTCCCCCTTTGGGGTTCAAAGGGAATCTATCACTGCCGGAAATTATGTTCTCCCAAGGGGGCTTGAGCAAAGGGTGCTCGAACACATGTTCGTATTTTCCCGTGTTGGTTCTACCTTCTTTTTTGGCAGGGGGCTTGAGCAGAAATGGAAGTCTTCTAGTTTAGTTGGCGTAGAGCCTTCTGAAGCAGACCACCCCGCCCTTGAGACTGCGCCTTCTAAACTGAGCAGGAGCTGTCAAGTCACTTCGGAACCGAGCACCACGTACCCGGAGCTGGCTTGGTCGTACGCCACCTGCGGCTACCGGGACATGTTTTCGAAGTACAACATCACGGAGAGCGCGCAGGGGCAGCCCATGCGGGTGACTTCCCTTTGCTTGAGAATGCGTTCATTTTCCCTTGTTGGGTTTAAAGAAAGACTATCCTACTGGATTTGTTTTAATTTTTTCCCCAGGGGGCTTAAGCAAATGGAAGGTGATGTTCCTGAGCAACACCGGCGGCTGGAAGGGGAATTATTGCACCAACATGCAGGGCAAGGCGGGCGCGACAGGAAAAGATCGGATGGAATCAGATGGAAGTGCCTCTTCTTTAAAAAAACAACATGGGGGTAGGTCAATATTCCCAGACACCCCAAACGACCTGGACCATGGGTGACTTTTCCCGTGCAGTGGTTGAATATCAGCTTTTCAGTGGTTTTCCAACCAATGGTCATCCCATGTATCACGGACCTTTTGATCAAGCCCCAAATATACCCCCCTGCCTTTTCCCCGAGTTGTCGTCTAGGGGAAGCCAAGGGCACGCCTACCTATTTTGAGAGTGCTCAGGTGTGTCAAAACCAGCGGGGCGACGGGCCCATGCAGACCTTCTTCGATGGGATGGTGGGCCAAGCCGGCTTCAGGGTGGAGCAGGTGCGCGCGCAAGCGGGGCACCGACAAATCAAGTTTTCTTGCAGGTGCTCAATAGGGAACCTGGAGATTCCCTTCGAGGAAACCACAAGGGATGTTTTCATAGGGGGTCATTCCCTCCTGAGTACCAGCAAGTTTAGTACGTACGTCTACACATTCAGACGCTGAGAGCTTTTTACCGCCAACTCGCCAACTCGCTGAATGCAGCTGTAGGCACATTGCGCACTTGGGTTGCATGTGTTGTGGACATAGGTGTCCTTTTTGGTTGTTTTGCTAGAAGAATAGATGGCCCTGGTTTACCTGGTGGTTTAATCATCTACCAGGGAAACCCATCTATTTCCCCTAAAAGGACACCTATGGTTGTGGACCCGTTTCTTTCCACGAGCCTTTTGCCGGTTTTCCGTTCGCTCCCCGCGTCGTCGCAATGTAGCAAAGGCTCTGGAAGGCAGGGCTTCTCGGCTTGCCGAGAAGTGGTTGCGTAGCGCATCCCGAGCCAGGGCCTCTAAGTTGCCAAGGTGGGGTTTTATGATATCCTGATACCCCGAAAGAGATGGAGAGCGTCAGAAGTAGGACACGACACACTCGGAGAAGGAAAAAAAAGAGGAAAGATCTTCAAGGCCAGTGCTTGGTGAAGCAACGCGGCGAGTGTTTGCTGTGTGTTTCTTGGAAGGGGGGGAGCCCCTTTTGGCGGAAATGGTGGTGACACCCCCAATTAGGTGTCCTTTTTGGTTGTTTTTGGGTAGAATCATAGATGGGTCTCGATTCCTTTTTTTTTTTAAACGGTGGTTGGATCATCTACCAGGGAAAAGCCAATCTACCTCCGGGATCGGAAGCGCTCGCGGGGTGGAGGGGGACGGATCGACGGATCCTGAAAGCCGGTGGCGAAGTCTTCGGCGCGAGCTGACAGCTCGAGGGGTTGATTCCTTTTCCACTGTTTTTAAAAAGCAGCGTGGTGTTCAAAAGCCGGATCCGTTTCTTCCTGGGAAGCTGATGGTTTTCCGAAAAGATTCGGATGCCTGGAAAGAATGGAGATGGACGTGTCCCTAGAGCTGTATCAAAGTCAAGTGGAGGCAAATCAAATCTGTACTCGGCAGATGTGCAATTGTTGAGACAACCCCGCCTGTAGCTGAGGCCTACCCTCCCACTAACATGGAAGTGTACAACGCCCCTTTCCGAGAGGAAAGTCGAATTTCTACAGTCTAGGGTCTAGTCGGGAGGGTGAAGTTGAATGGGCGGGTTCCGGCCGAAAGCTCAGGTGGCCATGGGTCAAAAACGTACCCCCAGTGAACATCCCAATCCAACCACTCAAGTAGGTTCTAAAAGAAGTGGTCACCCACCAGCCAAAATGATCCCAAGACGGTTTTGACAACCACAGCCAGGTGACCAGCTTCCCTGATGCTCCCAAAGAGCAGATGGCCAGAGTAAGCTCCAGCACTTCCGACTTCGACCTTTGTACCTGGGCGACGGGCATGGGATTTGTGGACGCCTGCATCGCGGCTTGGCTCACTTGGCTCTTCTTTTGTTTGAGCTCAGTCCCATGATTCGGAGCCCCGCAAAGAGGGGCCCCCCAAAAAAAGGAACGTCCCCTATTGGGGGGCCCGTAACATCTATAGGACTGAGTCTCAGGTGCCACAAAAAGGGGTTGGTTCTGATGCAAAAGTCATCTTTTGCAAGAGTGCGGCATGCGCCCCACCTCCCACTAACATTGCACCTGTGGGAGGGTACCTGGAAGATCACTTTCTTTTGGAGGTACCTCATGTCAGATGCCCTTTTAATTGGAGGGATGGTAGCTTTAACAAACTCCCAGCTGGGGAGAGCCTTTAAACGCATTTGTTTCATTTTATGTTCATTTGTGTGTTCGTTTTGTTTTCATTCAGGTGTTATTTTTCTTTCATGTGTCGAGGACATTTTGTGTTCACCTCCTCCCCCCCAGCTCCAAAATGGAGGAAAACCCGCAAAATAAAATGAAAACACAAATGAACATAACATTAATTACCATTTCCTCGATTTTGTTTGCATTTGTTGTTGCCCATGGTCGCAGGGTGGAGGAAAACCATCAAAATAGAAATAGCATGAACACACTAGCAGAAATGAACATAACATGAACATGTCCTTGAGATTTTATGCACGTTTTGTTTTCCAGTAACATGAAAATAAAATGAAAACACAAATGAAAATTACTTCGCTTCGAGCAATCCCCACCCTCCACACTCACGAGCTTACGACCGTGAACACGGTTGTGTGAATTCAAGCATGGTTTTCGAGTGGCCCCGAGTGGCTTGGGGCCTATGACTGCTCAGCAAGCTTTGCTGTGTGTCAAACTCCACTTGTCTGCGAGCCGATCTCGAGAACTCAAACATCGGTTCCGTTAACAAAAGCCAAGCCCCTTCCAAAAAGAAACCCGACGGGGGATTAAACGAAGCTGCTTATTCAAAACCCAAAGAACACAAAAGCATCACCCTTTTCCGAGCCCTCAGGGTACACTCAAAACACGAAGGCGCCAACATGAAACGTAAACCCAACTGTGCGCCGGGCGGGACATTAAGCAAAACCAGACTGGCGAGCTGCTCTGGCGGGATACACTGGCGAATGCTGGCGAGCCGCTCCGGCTCGACGCTGGCCGGATACACGGCGGGATCCACAGGCAAGGGATTCTCAGCGCAGCGGGATCCACTGGCAAGCTTCTCTGCGATACTGAGCGGGACACTCGGCGGGATCCACTGGCGGGCTGCTCTGGTGGGATATTCGGCGGGATGCACTGGCGAGCCACTCTGGCGGGATACTCGGCGGGATCCACTGGCGAGCTACTCTGGGATGCTCAGCGGGATGCTCCGCAGGATCCACTGGCGAGCCGACTCGGCGGGATCCACTGGCGAGCCGCTCTGGCGGGATACTTGGAGGGTCTTCAAATGCAGGACACCCAGCAAAGTGAAAATAGCATGAAAACACAAATACATCAAAATGACCATTGCCGCGAGTTGTTTGCATTTCTTGTTTTCGTGGGTCCCAAAATTGAAAACCAGCAAATGAAAGTAACATGAACATGTTGTCTCGGGGCAGGCGAGTTTTGTGATCTTGCCGCGGCGTGCCGACGCCTCGCCCTTTGTGTCGCTGTGGGCGAGTCCCACCATCCTGGTGGGGCCCGTGATCACGCACTCGCCGGAGCTCTCCCTGGTGGACATGCTCAGCGCGGCCTTCCGGCCCTTCAGCGCGGACCTGTGGGTGACCATGCTGAGTGCGCCGCGGCGGGCGTGTTTTTTTTTGGGGGGAGGGGGGGGGGCTGGCTAGCCAGGCCGTGCTCAGGTGGTCCTTTTTTTTTGGGGGGGGGGCTAGCCGGCCAGTGGTCCCGATGTTTTTTTGGGGGGGGCAGGCTAGCCAGGCAGTTGTCAGGCCCCTTTTTTTTTGGGGCGGGGGGGGCTGGCTAGCCCGCAGTTCTCAGGTGGCCCCGATGTTTTTTTTGGGGAGGGGGGCTAGCCGGCCAGTTCTCAGGTGGTCCCGATTTTTCCTCAACAGCTGAAAGCTTTGGGGTCTCAGCCCAGATAGGCTCCGGGGTGGTCCGGCGCGGCCCTGAGGTAGGGTTCCACCAGGGTTCCACCAGGGTTCCACGAGAATAATTGGCGGTTTGGATTGGTGTGGGGAGTTGAAATTCTGGTTCTTGTAGGGGTAGATGGGAAACCACCCCCTAACCGCCAAACCAATGCAAAGCAGCAATTGGAAGGAAGCTGAGGTTCCTGAAGTTTTGAGCTTTTCAGGCGCTTAACCAACAAGTGTTTGACTTTTAGCAGGGGGCCGGAGGGCAGCCCGATTGTTTCTTTTTCCGGGATGCAGTAAAAGAAACCAGCCAGACAAACTCACAGCTTCTTTTGTGGACGTTCAAAAACCGTGGCTCCGTGTTGGACCTCTTTTGAGCCGCAGCCATGTTGTGTGTGAAGAAGGGCCATAGACCATAGACTGCTTCTTTGTCCTTTAACTTTTTGCGAAATCAAGGGGTTTTCCACTAAACCCCCCAAAAGGTTAAACTTTTTGCGGGGGGGTCAACAGCAACCAAGACGGCCATTTCACATTCTGGTTTATCAAAAGTTTTAGGAGAAGAGCTGAGTATGTAGTTTCGGACGATTCAAATGAGACCAGCCAAACAATGACCAAGTAAAGCGTTGTCGCCCGCAAGTACATAGCCAAGTAAAGACAGCCATACTGATAGGTTCAAACTTTCCATTGCGTTTCGTGCGCTGACTTAGTGCCGACGCAACTTGTCAGCCGAAGCTGTGCAAGTGTGGTTCGCTTACTTCCTTCCTTGGTGTTGAACAATTGTGCGTTTCCAGGCGCAGCTGTGGAAGTTCATTTCGTGGGCTGTCTTGGTGCTAGACCCTAGACCCTAGACCCCAGACCCTAGACCCTAGTTGCGACCTTTCGGCCGGAGCTGCGTTTCGTGCGTTTCGCTTTGAGAACAGCGCCGCGAGTTTCCAGCCGGCCCGCCGTCTCGCCGCCTGTGCGAAAGTAATGTAATGTTAAGCCCGGGTTGATTTTCATCAGGGGGTGCTTTTAGTGGTTGGATTCAGACCACTTTTGGAGGGAACACCCCCCTAACACTGGGACGTTTATTAATCCTGGGTCAACATTAAATGGCTGTCTTGAGGCGAAGGAGTGTAGAACACCCGGCAGGATGCTTTACACCTGCCCTGGGAAGGCAAGCCCTGCGCTTTTGTTTCCTTTCGTCCCAGGTGGTCATCCTGAGCTCTCTTTTGGTCACTTACTTCGAGACGCTCGGCAGTCGGAACGAACGACGAAATGATCGGCCAATGTTTCATGGGAGCAACATTTGGGGACCGCTCAATTTCCCACAGACAATAATTTGGAATCCCAAGCTACCCCATGTCAATTCCGGGAACATGAGCTCCTAATATGTTGTGCTGTTGTTTCTTGTGGGGCGTGATAGGCCCGCACCAACGTAGCAAGATCAATCGCCGTGCAAGAATGAGAGACTCTCTCCACCACCAAACATGCGACATCATGCCCCGACGTATCCAAAGCCAAGCATTCATTCTTTGTGTGTTCCTTCAGTTGCTGGAAGTGTAAACTAAATCCCTTGGATGCGAACAAGTGAGAAAATCATGCACCCCGAGGGCCATGTTTTTGTTTGCTCCGTCTTTACCAGGGGGGGAGAGTGCCAAACCGCCGATGCTCCCCTCCCAAACACAAAAGCAAACAAAAGCAACCCCTCTCTGCAAAGCCCCACCCTTGAGACTGTTTGACCCTTCAGGCTCTAGAGCCTTTTGCTGGCGCTGATAGACTCCAACTCAAGAGGACTCTCATTTGGACTCTTGTTTTTTCTAGTTCGCCTCAGACAAAAAGCTCTAAGGCGTTTTTATGGGCTTCAGATTCGAACGTTTCAAGACTCTCATCTTGAATCTTGAATGCGTCAACTTCTTCCGATGAAACGCTTTGAAGCGTTAAAAAGGCGCGTTCTACCGCGTGTTTTTGTTGGCTGAATCTTGGGGCGTGCGTCGAGTGTGGCACTGTGCGAAAGCACCCTTCACACCTGTGAGGCCTTCAGCTGTTGCCAAAGCGTTTAACTCACGGTCTATGCATGTTCTCAGTTCAGTGGCGCCAAGTCTTTTTCCAACTTTTTGTTGGTGGCCCCACTAAAAATGGTCTTTCCAAAAAAAGGGTTCCCTTTTTTTTCAGGGTCACTGAACAACTGAGTATGGGATCATGGGGCGAACACAAAACCAGAGTTCTTGCCAGCTATACTTATTAGCTCGGTTGTTGTTGGGAAACATGTTTCCCATTTTTGCTTACTGTGGTTTAGTGGTTGAACTCCAACCACTTAACTGCTAAAGTTTATTTTTGTTGCTTCCCGTTCAACGTCAACCAAGTATGGCTAAACATGTGCATGTTAGAGGGTTACAAGACAATACTGTTCAGTCATGTTCACCCTTTTCTGAGACCTCCCAAACTCAAGCGCTGTTTGGTTCCAGAGTCAAAATTTGTGTGGGATGGTGTAAAACGACTTGGAGTGTTTTACGAGCAAATGCGTAGACAGACAAATGCTCAAACGGGGAGGTGTGGGTAGCGGACGGCAATGACACACATGTACCGCAAATATCAGCAGATGCTGGCGGGGCTTGCGGTTGCAACACAAACTCGTATTTACAAACATGTACATGGGGGGACCATGTAGACACACATACATATATATATATATATACATACATTATGATATATATACATCATATATATATATATATATATATATTTGTACATACATATTGTATATATTATTCCGAATATATATATATATATGTTTGCGTGTATATGTTTGTAAAACGCGCTACTGCATAATCAAGCCACTTCCGGCTTGGTTGCTTGATTGCCGAAGCCGTGAGGACAGGCCCATCGGGTCAGTTCAGCAACTTGACTGGAAAGCGGCGGCGCGTGGGCGAGGCCATCTACCACGCCTTTTACAGCCTCTTCATGTGTGAGGCCGGATGAGGGAAATTTCTTGCCTGTCTCCTCCAAATTCGGTTGACTCATGTTGCTTGACCCTTTTTCTGAAGTTGATCGAAACTAGTAACTCCAGCAAGCGGATTGGCTGCGTTTTCCGTGGACTCCCCATTGCTTTCCCATTTTTTATTTATTTTTTCTGTAGTACTCCTTTAGTACTCTTTTCCTATAGGGGTGGATCCATCAAAAACCGCATCCAAACCGTTTCCTGGACAAATCGTAGTTTTTGGATTCTCTCGTTTCCATGGTTCCGGGGCCCCAGTCGTCGCGGGGTTTATGTACGTTTTTGGCACTGGCTTGGACGAAATCTGTGTGGTATACGTCTTTTGTTTTTTGCTAGACCCCCAGCTTGGACGAAACAACTCGCGCACAACTGAGGGAGGTCTAGGAAACGGCCGGCTTCTGAGTTTCTTCATGGGGACGAAAAGGCTTGAGTAGTTCTCTATGGGCAGAAAAGGCCGAGTTCAAAGCCAGCTCCGAACTGCTCCAGCGAACCTGGTGTCTGAATCGGACCAACAAAAAGACTGGCTTCTTTTGGTTGCACTTTCAATCCGCCCTTCAAGGGTAGACTCGAAAAGAAGAGCCGCAATCCTTGCTGGTGCCCCGTGGGGAATGAGGCAATGAACCCAGGGCTCCCCTCAAAGGAAACCACCAGTTGGACGGTTCTTCTATGGGTCATTCCATGTCTAATGTTCTGCATCTCGCCCCAGCAAGAAATCCCCCATAGAATAAATAAATTCAAAGAATAAATTACTTCGCTTCGAGCAATCCCCACCCTCCACACTCACGAGCTTACGACCGTGGACGCAGTTGCGTGAATTCAAGCATAGCTGTTCGAGTGTCTTGGGGCCTTATCCACCTGTCTGCGCGTCAAACTCCACTTGTCTGCGAGCTGATCTCGAGAACTCAAACATCGGTTCCGTTAACAAAAGCCAAGCCCCTTCCAAAAAGAAACCCGAAGGGGGATTAAACAAAGTTGCTTATTCACAGCCCAAAGCAACACAAAAGCATCACTTTCCGAGCCTCAGGGTACACTCGAAACACAAAGGCAGCCCCACTGTGCGCCGGGCGGGACATTAAGCAAAACCAGACTGGCGAGCTGCTCTGCGGACACTGGCGGGATCCACTGGCGAATAATGGCGAGCCGCTCCGGATTGATACTGGCCGGATACTCGGCACGATCCACCGGCAAGGGATACTCAGCGGGATACTCGGCGGGATCCACTGGCGAGCCGCTCTGGCCGGATACTCGGCAGGATCCACCGGCAAGGGATACTCAGCGGGATACTCGGCGGGATCCACTGGCGAGCCGCTCTGGCGGGATACTCGGCGGGATCCACTGGCGAGCCGCTCGGCGGGATACTCGGCGGGATCCACTGGCGAGCAGCTCTGGCGGGATACTGGGCGGGATCCACTGGCGAGCAGCTCTGGCGGGATACTCGGCGGGATCCACCGGCGAGCTGCCCTGGCCTCGGAGGCGAGCCGCTCTGGCGGGATACTCGGCGGGATCCACTGGCGAGCTGCTCTGGCGGGATGCTTGGCGGGATCCACTGGAGAGCTGCTCTGGCGGGATTCTGGGTGGGGGCGTGGTGTAGAAGCATCGCAAACGCGGATTCCAACATAAAATCTAACAACCCCTTGCTGTTGGGTGGGGAATAAATGAGTTAATTAATTAAATGAATCGAATAAGTAAGTAAATAAGTAAATAAGTAGATGAATGAAGCAAATAAAGACATTAAACAAATACTTTCAATAATTCAATACAGAACTGAATAGATAAAGGAATAACTAACTAAATGAAACAACGAATGAACAAAAAATGAATACACAACTCAAACAAATAAACAAATAAATTAGATAAACAAATAAACAACTCTCTTAAAACACAGAGGTCTTTTTTTGGCCGTCTGCCGCGAGTCGCGCTTCGAGCCCGTCACCGTGCCTGGCCGCATCGTGGGCTTGGGCCTTGCCTTTTTGTTGGTGCTGATCGTGTGCGGCTACACGGCGCCCTGACCGAAGCGATGGGTCCAGCAATTGGTGCCCTAACCCTCACCCCTTGTTTTTTTTGGGAGGGTTCCCCTACCAACTCATTCTAACCAACCAAAAGTAAACAATTGTCTGTTTTATTCTATTTTGGTGGCCCTTCTCCGATCTTTACTTGGGTCCTTTAGATCTTGGGTCCTTTGGGCTCCTTTACTTGCCTCTGTTTCCAAGAGTCATGGGAGACCAGGGGGCTTCCAACCAAACTGCCCTGGCTCGCTTGTTGGAGACTTCGAAGGCTCGGTGTTTTGAGGGGTCGGATTTTGAGGGAACCCAGCAAAACCACCAACTGGGTCGCCCAGTGCCCTTTCTCATTGTTTGGTTGGGTGGGTTCCCCTATAAAATAGACGAAACAGAGAAGCAAATTCGTTACCAACTTATTCAGGGCTCCTTAAAAGACACCTTTTGCCCAATTGAAACATGTTTTTTTCACAAGAATAAAGGGAAACCACTATTTACAAGGCAATGTTCAGGTGTATAATGTAAGGATCCCTGTTATTCTAACCTCTCTACTGGAGAACCTGGAAAAAGAGATCGGTTCTCAGTGTTCTGGGTGCAATGCTCGCTTGGAGAATGCCCTGCGAAAGTTGTTTTTCTTTCTTCTTTTTTGAGAGGGTGCCCTTCGAAATGTTTTTGAGGGAGCCCAACAGGAAAACCGAAAACCGATTTGCGGTCCATTACTGGGCGCTTTCAGATTTTGTTTTGAACGAAGTACAACAGGGAACCCCTAGTTGGTTTGCAGTGGTGGTTTGGGAATTAAAACTTGAACCCCTGCTGCGCTACATGAAAAACCCCTCCTTAACCACCAAACCGCCAATCCACACCACCAATTAGAGGGAAGCTGAAGCGGTATTTCTGAAGTTTTTGGAGCTGTACGCGAAGCATCCCACATCTCTGAGGTGCGACTGAATTCAAGCGGCTCTTCATGATCCCAAGCTTCTTTGGTTTGTTTGTTCGAACAGATTCGATGTGAATCAGATCACGACTGCGGATGGACGAAATCCTGCACCGCTTTGAAACCATGAGAAGCTATTTGTTTGGTATTTATGGATTTCGCAACCATCCACAATATGTCTGAAAAAGCTGTGAGATCCCTTGTGGGCCAGCTCGACGAAGGTCTCAATGCATGAATACATGACAAAGGACATACATGCAACACCGGGGCGTGCATGCCTACTTTCGCTTACCTACCTTACTTTATAGACATATACAGCTATGTATACATATATATATATATATTATATACAAACGGTCATTCAAGGATGCATGAAATCAAGCAACACACAGGCAGCATTTGAGGATTGTAAACTTAAACATACCTGTGCATGCACGCGCGCACTCAGGCAAACATGCGTGTGCTCTCATGCGTATATGTGTTATTCACGAAATGCGATGCCAGTTCATCTTTCCAATCACACCCATGTTGCTGGGGTAGACTTAGGATATATCTGTTTTGGCTTTAACCAGTGACTCAAGCTGAAGCAAACAATAAGATATACATTCTATGGGCCTAGCTCCAATGGTTGGGGGTTCATGACAACTCTCCCAACGAAATTCGCCCCCCACGCTTCCATTTGCTGAAATGAATATTTTATTTGTCCCTTGTTGGTTTTAAAGGACATCGATTTCACTACTGGACAGATTTTCTCACTTGTTCCAGAAAAGGCGAAAACGCAAAGGGAAGCCAGGAACCTCCAAAGGAATTGGTGGACTCCCCACCTGCGGGCCAATTTTTCGAAATTCATGAAGAGTTTTTTGAGTCCACAATCAAAACCCGGGTAGATGAAGCTTAAATCAGACTAAAAAGAGTGGCTTTCAATCCGGTTTTTGAAGGGTAGACTCCAAAAGAAGAGCCGCAATCCTTGCTGGTGCCCAGTGGGGAATGAGAGAAGCCCCTCAAAGGAAACTTCTAGGGGTCATTCCATGTCTAATGTTCAGCAAGAAATCCCCCATGAAAACATAAATAAATGGCAGTGGGTCAAACCCAACGTTACCATTTTGGGGTAGGTGAATTCACCACCCATTTTAGAACCTATTTGAGTGGTTGGATTGAATCGAATGTTCACTGGGAGAGAAAAATCAACGATTGGATTTTGACCATGGCCAAATGAATGCGCATCATTTCCACGCAATCCTTGCTTCGCGAAATGCATAATTTCCACGCCGCGCATTTCAACCATCCTCAACTCAACGCCTCTGCGAACTTGCGGCAACCAGAGGCCGCGAAGAAAAGCTCTCGCTGCTAGCCTCAGGCCACCTTGGCGTCCTTCTTGGTGGTGGAGAAGCGCAACGCGCCGGAGATCTCCAGCCTGGAAGATGCGATCAGGCAGGCCTGTTGGACTCGCTCCTTCGTTTGGTTGAGAAAAGCTTTTGAACAAAAATGCCCCTGTTGGTTTTACAGCAAATCTACATATTTGTTCCAGGGGACTTAAGCAAATGGAGGGACTTCATGTTGAAGCTTGGTGATCCCTGGTGTGCTTTTTAGCAGCTAAAAACACACTGGATGGCTGGGATTTCCACCAAGCGAGGTCAACATGACTCTTCCATTTGCTGAAAAGATTCTGTTTTAATTTTCCCCTGTTGATTTTAAAACAAATCGATCGCTACCGGGGCGAACAAGCAAATGGAGGGACTCATTCTAGGGGTTGATTCCTTGTCCATTCTTTTCAACCATTGTTCTTTTCAAAAACCGGATCTGTTTCCCCTAGGTTTTTGATGGTTTCCTGGAAAGAAGGATCCCCGGAAAGAATGGGGAATGTGCCCCTACATTCATGTTGACCCAGCTTGGTGGGAACCCCAGCCATCCAGTGTGTTGTTGGCTGGTTTAGTGGTTGGGTTTCCGTATTCAAGCCTGTCAGGGATCTGATCTGGCCCAGCTAGGATTGCTTCACCTCCCGGCCCTTCTTTGGTGCTTGGTTTGCCAGGGCTCCTTAAAAGATACATTTCGAAAAATTGGAAATATGTTGCTTTTTCCACACCAAAATAAAGGTTGAATCTACCATTTTACAAGTTGCAAGTTCAGGTGTATGCATCCGGATCCCTGTTTGCTTTGGAAAGCTGGACATGCCCATTTTCGGCTTACCAGCTGTTGATTTGGCACTAATTGGCCTGAACCTTATGACACAGGGGCTTGGGAGGGAGACGGAAGCTGTTGAGATCAGGTAAGGTAGGTGGGCTCCACAGACAACGTTGACTAACATGCTACACAAGTACATATATATATATAATATACATATTATATGGTGTCTGTATATATATATATATGTATATATATATATATGCAACCCACCCCGATGGATCTAGCTTTTTGATGTGTGAAGGCTATTTTGGAGATGAAATGCAGTTGTGGAATGCCCCATGCGACTTGACCAGCATCAAGCAAGGAAATCGAGTTTGGAATAACAATTCCAACTGTGTGTTTTCTTTGAAGAGGAACTATTTAGGGATTATCTTTTAAACTAGAAATTAACTAGAATTATTTCCTGATTAGATTCCAGAAAAAATCTAAATAGAAAGTGGAGAAACAATATTTCGGAAAAGGACGGTCTATATAGAATATATCTCGGAGTAAGAATCCCAACTAACAATGTTCTTTAGACATAGAAATCCTATTCCAATCATCTTTAAGTCTAGACAGCGTATTTTGTGTTCCTCACTTTTAATTTCTAATTAGATTCTAATTAGAAACATGAACAACTCATCCTGGAAAAAAAAAAAACGTCCTTTTGAACCTCTAATTTGAAACAAACCGTCTTTTAAAAATCTATGCAAATTCTCTTTAAAGCTAGACGTTATTGTATAATTATGTCCTCATTAAGTCCTATTCAACATACGCCAACAAATCAACCCGTTTGAGCATCGAGTTTCAAAAAAAAGATTACACATCTTGTTCGACAAGGAAATCCTATTTAAATGATCTTTCAAATGGACACTCTACCAGGATTTGTTCCTTCTTAAATTCCATTTCGTTTCTAGTTAGACAATTGAACAAACACAGTCCTAAGAAAGGAACCCCCTTTAAGATGATCTTTCAAATTTATCTTGAGACAACATGTGTCCAATTGATTATTTGATTGTTTAATCCTTATCCAATACGGTGAATTCCAAGCGAAAAAGCAACAACACAAAAACACAAGGCCAAACACAGTGAGTTTGTTTGAACAAAAACACATGGTTCCAATGAAATTCATTGAGCAAACATCTACGAGAAATAAAGCCGGTTCCTATACACGTGAGTCGATACACACGCTAAACCTGCCCATTCTAAGCTGAGGTTTGGTCAGAAGATGCCAAACAGCAGCTATGTTGGAGCCAGTGGCCCAAAAGTGAAAACGTAAAAAAGTAAAATGATGGAGCCACTAGTGCAAGAGTAAAAGCAAAAAAGTTCTGGAGCCAATGACCAAAGGTAAAAGAAAAGTGAAGCAAATCTGGAGCCACTGACCCAAAAATAATAAGAGGAAATTTCTCGAGCCAGAGATCCAAAAGTAAAAAAGTAAAGAAGTGAAAGTACGTGTCTGGAGCCAATGAACCAAAAGTAAAAAGTAAACAAGTAAAGAACTATAAAAGAACAAGACAAACAGTGAAGTAAAATGCTTGGACCATGGACTGACATATTTTATTACCTTTTTACTTTGTTACTTTTTGGGTCATTGGCTCCAGAATTTTACACTTTTGTTTGTTTTGATTTTGGGTCATTGGCTCCATAGTTTTACTTCTTTACGTTTTCACTTTTGCGCCAATGGCTCCAACATAGCTGTTGTTTTGCATCTTCTGACCAAACCTCAGCTTAGAAATAGCACAGAGGTGGATCCAAACCGACTGGATTCAAGATTCCCTGGGACAGTTTGGCCTAAAGCTTTCAGATTGTCTTTGGACATGCGCCTCTTGTTGCTGCTTTGCCCAACACCCCAAAAAGGCGGACACCACTGCACATTGCACTGCACATACCAGTGAATTCTGCTGGAAGGTAGATCCATGGGGGGGGGGAGGTATATATATATATATATGTGTGGTACGCCCCTTCTCTGGTGCCTAGGTTTTGCTTGCTTTCAGTCATTTTTCAGGTAATTTTGCATTTTTTGGCCAAACTTGGGCACCAAGGAAGGGGGGTGCCACAATTCTACAATTAAGAATTCTGGACCCAAGATTGCTGGGAGACGTTCAATGTGACAATCTGGACTTCAAGATTCAAGACTTCAAAACAATCTTTTCTGGAATCCTGGAATATTGAATATTGCGTCCCGTATGTTTTTACATGGGATTCAAGATTCAAGATTCCCAGAAAAGGATTATTTTGAAATCTAGAATCTTGAATCTTGACTCCCATAGTTTTCAAAACTTTTTTAGAATTCCGGGTTTGTCCCAATACTCTTGGTGTTCAACAATATTCTCGGAAAAGCTTTCCGTGACATACTTCAATATTGAATCTTCAATCCAGTGGTAAAAATCGTTCGATTTTTTAGAACACCTTGATCATTTTCAGGGTTTTGAACAGGATGGAGGATTCTTAGGAAAGTTGTTGTTTGTGCAATCCTCGATATTGAATCCTCAATGCAGTGGTAAAGCACTTTCAAGTGTGAGAAGAACTTGAATGTTGTTTGGGTTTGGCCAGGATTGACAATTCTCAGGAAAGTGTTCTGCGTAATCTTCAATCTTGATATTTTCCATCCAGTGGTAAATAGGAGGTACACAAAGGTGGGTGTAATGCTCAAAAACACTGTATTTTACATTTGTTTAAATGAAGTTAGGGGTACTATATATTTGTGTATGTATATATGTATATATATATATATACATGTATATTCACACACTGTGACTCCCCCTCTTGAACTACCTCTCCGCATTTGATCATCTACTACCTCCGCCTTTTGAGATAGAATGAATTTTAAATGTTGTCCTGTGCAAATAGAACTTTAATTCCAACTGATTCGCTAGAATCCCTGTTTCGAAATAGTTTTAGAATTTGATGAATTTGAACCTCTCTTCCCTTGAAATTTCCTTTTGGAACACCGTCTAGCAAGTGCAATTTCGGACCTTTCTTATGCTGCCAAAGGGCCAGGATATAAATAACACAGATCATATTTCGGATTTTCCTTGTAGAATCTAAAGAATTTTACATGGGCCACTGTTATGGGCCACTGTTATGGGCCATTATTTTTGTGGTTTGCTGGCCAGAGAGACGATAGTTCCAACGAACGCAAATCCGCAAGTTTGATTTCAGCAAAAGGGCAACCAAGGACCCAAACATCTGAGCTCCCAAAATAGGGGCCCATTCAGGAAACTGTCTGTGCCAGTGGGTTTCCTGAATGGGCCCCTATTTTTGGGACCGGGGTTTGGGGGCTTGGCACGAAGAGTCCCAATGGAGTTGGAACCTTTCAAGATTGCTGTCGTCAAAGATTGCTACTCCAGAGGCAGCAGCTGAGAAACGCACACATCCAGCCACCTGGTCCTTGTGCTACGTACCCAATACATAAGGGGTATATATAGTGTATGTATTTTTCAGCCATTAGCGGCCCATAACAAGGGCCCAAGTAAAAAACTTTCGATAGAAGTCCCTTAAATGTTTAGCCATATTCAATACGAACCAAATTTGAGAAGTAGTTTCTATTTAATTGCTAGTATGAAAAGCTAATTGAGTTGTGTTCGTATTAGATTATATCTAACACTTTGATTATATTTGGGAATCAACTCCTAACTTGTTTTGTTGAAGATTAGTTGGAGTTTGCCCGAAACTATACTTATATTCTCATGTAGCTCCTATTTGGAAAGGATTTGCTTATATAAGCTGTAGTTGAGCAATGTTGAGCATAAACACATTATTGAAAACTATATCCTAACCAAATTATATTCAAAAATCCAATTCTAGTTGAAGTAAAATCCGATTTGGAAAGGGTATCATATGGGGACATTTCGGATCTTGCCATGATGGACTGCAAGCCCATTCGTTTGTGCTTAAAATCTATTGCACAAAATCTAAACTCTACAGCCTGCGTACTGAAATCAACCAAAACCTGGGCACCAGGGGGGGCCGTTGCATATATACATATATACATAGATGAATCTTGAAGATTGAACGTGTCATGTGTGGTCGCAACGACATCTCCGGCCTATTGTTGTGAAACTCTTGAAGCGAGCGCCTTTATCTAGGGTCAACTGGTGGGATCCTCGTAGGATGGACTACAAGATCTGCGCCCACTTCAGCCATGTGGAGCCGTTGCGCGCCAACGGTGTGGCCGAGAGCAACATTGTGACCATGTCCAGCCGCGCGGACGTTCTGCCGAGCGTGGGCGCAAGTTGCCAGGCCAGCGTGCTGTCTCTGGAGGATTTCGAAGCTGCCCAGGCGGTGAACCAAGGAAGCGCCTGCAACTTGCAGCAGATCGGCAACCCCATCGATTCCATCATGGTGGGCGTTCCCGTGTCGCAGAAATGGGTGCGCCAGTTTCGCTACGCCGCCATCTCGCTGGCAATGGATGGATACACCAAGCGAATTTTCAAGCGCTTCCAGCCTCAGGACTACTGCAAGCAGATTCTCAGTTGTTCAGTGGCACCCTTGTTCCTTTCTTTTTGTGGCTGCCCCGCTGAAAATGGTCTTCCCCAAAAAGGGTTCCCTTTTTTTCCAGGGTCCCTGAACAACTGAGGATTATTTTCGAGGCTGAGGCCAACAGGATGCCAGATGCCTTGACCACCCAGGGCATGCTGGGCCCGCTCATTGCCACACTATAGCGCACCTTTTTGGCCCTGTCGCTTCATTTTCCATCTCAACCACCAACAAGTGATGTCGCTTTGGACTTTGGGGGGGTCGGAGGGTCGGAGTGTCGGAGCCGTTTGGCTGAGGTTTTTGGTCACCGGCTTCTTCATCGCGCTGGGGGTTTTGTGCCACGGTTTCCAAGTGACATTTGCCACCGCTGAGCACCTCATCGAGGAGGGAGACAAAGGCGCATGCCAACTGGGGCAAAATAAACCACCAGGAGTTGGACCGCATGTTTTTAGTCTTTGGTTCCGGTTCCATGGTGGGTACTCATTTTTGACCCACAGCCAAATAGCTTTGGCCCCATCAGGATCATAGTTTTTGCTTCTCAATTTCTTTTCAAGCACCATCAGCGTCCGAAAAACATATTCCGCCCTAGAAAGACACCACCGGTTTTCCCTTCGGACACCAGCTTTGGATGTTCTCGGCTGGCTCAACCATGGCGAGGCGATCACAAGTCTACGGTGCGGCAAGTGGCAGAGACCGTTATCAAGATGTCCAGTTTGCCTCACAAGGCGCCCTGGGCCACGGGGTCACGGGGGAGGCCAAGCTGGGGATGGTCAGGAATTGGTGGTGGCCGGGCTCCAAGGGAAAGCAGAACGCTTGGGGAAAACGCGTTGCAGTGAGGGGCAAATCGCACTACTTTTTTTTCCGGAAATCCGGCGAAAGGGAACCAAGGTGATGAGTCAACTTTGGCGTTGCAAGCTTGTCCAGCGAAGCATGGCAAAGCAAGAAGAGGCCCAGCTGTGTAAGTGCCAGACCTCGCAGGAGAGTCATGGTCATCATAATCATCATGGTCATCATCATGGGCATCATCATGGGCATCATGAGCATCATGGGCATCACAACAATCCCAGAAGATGCTCCGTCTTGAGCTCCTCGAGCGGGGAGCTGTCCCTGGCGACTTGGACCGTATGCCCGTCAGCCGGTTTCGGAGTTTTTTTAAAGGTTGGAGCGCGCGATCCGGTTGTATTGCCCTAGTTCTACGCTCGTTCCACAGTAAACACGTCGCCTCAGTTGGGCGGGGCTGACCATCGTTCCAAGGTGGCGCAGGGTCCTTAGAAAACCCTGGAGCTGATTCCTGCCGAGACCCACGGGCGACGCAGTTTCTGGCTGCGCCACGCAGTCCTCAGCAAGTTTGGCTTTGGCTTTGCAAAACGTGCAGGCTGCGCGGTTTGCAACGCGCAGGCTGCGCGGTTCCTGCCACGCAAAACAGGAAAAAGCAACAACGCAGTGTTAGGCGTTCTTCAAGTTGATTGGCATAACCCTGGCTGACACCTGGAAAGCAGACGTGTGGCTTTCTTTAAGCTTTCTCTAGAACATCTTGGTTGATTCCCAGCTGGCTTTCTTTGAGTTGCTCCCTAGGACAATTCTCCAAGCAGGCTGATGGGGACGGGTCTGATGGAGACCCAAACACAATCCTCGAAAACAAGAACACAGCCGACCAGCGGGAGAACTTGTCACAGGTGTGCAGAGCTTTCCTTAAGTTGGTCACTAGGAAATCCTGGTTGTTTCCTGGAAAAACGCGATCGGCTTGCTTTCTTTAAGTTGGTCATTAGAAAATCCTGGCTGCTTCCTGGAAAAGCGCAAGGCCGCTGACTTTGTCTAAGTTCATCCCTACAGAATCCTGGCTGATTCCTGGAGAAAAGCAACCGTTTTGCTTAATTTGAGTTGCTTCCTAGAACATGGCTGATTCCTGGGCAAAAAGCCACCGGCTTGCTTTGTTTGAGTTCATCCAATAAAAAACCTGGCTGGTTCTTGGAAAACGCAACACTTGGCTCTCTTCAAGTTGATCTCTCGAAAAGATCGGCTGGTTCCTGCAAAAAAAGCCAACACTTGGCTCTCTTTAAGCTGATTCTACAAACCCCTGGTTGCTCCTTGCAAAAGCAAGCCAAAGAAAGTTGCTCGCTAGAAGCTCCTGGTTGGTTCCTGGCAAACAAACAACGTGAGGCTTAGTCTAAGTTGACCCCTAGAAATTCCGGGCGATTCCTCAACAACATTTGGCCTGCAAAATTGGCTGATTCTGGCAAAAACAAAACGTCAGGCTTAATTTAAGTTGATCCCCAAGCTGATTCCTGACAAAAAAGCAACTCCGTTTCCGCCTGGTTGATTTCTGGCAAACAAACAACGCTTTGTTAAATGTGATCCCTAGAATCCCCGGCTGATTCCTGGCAAAAAAGCAAGCGTTTGGCTTGATTTAAGTTTACTCCTAGAACGTCCTGGTTGGTTGCTGGCAGAAACGCGGCCGTTTGGCTAATTTAAGGAGCTTCTTAGCCAATCCTAGTTGGTTCCTTGAAGAATTCGCTCGTTTGGCTTTCTTCAAATCGATTCCCAGAAACGCCTGGCTGGTTCCTGGCAAAACAGCAAACGTTCAGCTTAGTTCTGATCCCCTGAAATTCCCGGCGATTCCGAAGAAAGCAACGCTGGGCTTCTGGAAAACACGCGTTTTGCAACTTTTCCCGCAATCGAATCCTGGACAACTGATGGAAAGAAACCATGGGCTTGCCTTGTCAAAGTTGATACCTGAAAAAATCGCAGTTGGTCCCTGAAAGCATGATCGCTTGGGTTTCCTGAAGTTGGTTAGTAGAACATCCTGGTTGGTTCCTGGCAAGAAGAAGCACCGATTGGCTTAGTTTAAACTGATCCTGCAAAAAAACAAGGTTTGTTTGGCTTTCTTTTGAAAATCCTGGTTGATCCTGCAAAAAACAAGGTTTGTTTGGCTTTCTTTAGAAAATCCTGGTTGATCCCTGGAAAAACGAGCGCGTCTCTGTTTAGCTGATTCCTGGAAAATCCTGGTTGGTTCCTGGCAAAGGTCCCAACGTTTGGCTTAGTTTAAGTTGATCCCGGGAAAAACAACGATCGTTTGGCTTTCCTATAGTTGGTCAGGAGAAATTCCTGGTTGATCCCTGGAAAACAAGAAGATCATTTGGCTCTCTTTAAGCTGAATCCTGGAAAATTTTGGTTGATTCCGGGGGAAAACCATTTTAGGCTTTCTTTGAGTTGATCCCTAGCAAAAGGCTGCTTGATTCTTGCGGGGAAAAGCAACTTCTAGGCTTTCTTTGAGTTGATCCCTAGCAAAAAGCTGCTTGATTCTTGCGGGGAAAAGCAACTTCTAGGCTTTCTTTGAGTTGATCCCTAGCAAAAAGCTGCTTGATTCTTGCGGGGAAAAGCAACTTCTAGGTTTCCTTAGGTTGATCCGTAGAAAACAGCTGCTTGATTCTTTCGGGGAAAAGCAACTTCTAGGTTTCCTTAGGTTGATCCGTAGAAAACAGCTGCTTGATTCTTTCGGGGAAAAGCAACTTCTAGGTTTCCTTAGGTTGATCCGTAGAAAACAGCTGCTTGATTCTTTCGGGGAAAAGCAACTTCTAGGTTTCCTTAGGTTGATCCGTAGAAAACAGCTGCTTGATTCTTTCGGGGAAAAGCAACTTCTAGGTTTCCTTAGGTTGATCCGTAGAAAACAGCTGCTTGATTCTTTCGGGGAAAAGCAACTTCTAGGCTTTCTTTAAGTTGGCGAAATTAAGCTGCCGAGGTCGGCGCGCCGATCTCGGCGGAGCTGGTGCAGCTCATGGTGACGCAGGAGGCGCAGCTCAGGGCCACGCAGCTGGCGATGCAGAAGCTCAAGGCCTTTCGATGCGAGTCACTCTTGGGGTGTCGTGGCAAGCACCAAGTACCTGGGCCCGGAAAAAAAAGAAAAAACCATTGGCGGAGTTGTCAAAAATCAAACGTCGTTATGTGAGAACCATTCGGTGGAGAACCAGAAAGATGACATGACTCGCGCCAGATGGGAAAAGTTGGGGGCCAGGAATTTTGATCAACCCCAAGAGGGCTCTTGATTGCTACGCGGTGACGGATCTGTATACTTTAACTGTCTGGTTCAATCAGTTGGGTTTTCCGAATTGGACCAGCAAAAAGTGCTCAACTGTTTGAAGGCGGATCAACAGCAACCAAGGGCTGGATGGTTGCGAAATCCAAGTCGCGCCACGAAATGAAACGGGTATGAAGTTGTAACGTTTGTTGGTATTTACAGGGGAGTCGGATTGGAAACCAGGGTCTGCCAGGGTTTCTTATGGATGTCGTCCATCCACAGTATGCCGCATCACAGTATGGCTGGAGTTGTTTCGGGGCTTAACCGTTCTCCATAATGGTGGACTTGAATCCCCTCCAACTGATGTTTCGCAAAATGGGTTCCGAACCGCATTCGAGCCTTATAAGAGACGCACCCGTGTGTGTGTGTGTGTGCCTGGGCATAAGACCCGTTTGTGTCACTTTTCTTGTGGTGGGTTTGTGTGCTGAGGGGAAGGTCACACAAGATTCATGAGGAAATGACATATATCGTCTTCAGAATTTTTAAGCTCGGCCTTGCCGCGAAAGAGTGATCCTGGAAACCATTAAAACAATGGTTTGAGATCATAGAACCACCATTGCTTACCTAAGGATTGCCATCGTCCAAATTGGTTCCTTGCCATTCATTTACCACGTGCTTTGAAACACTGAAGCCTGGAAACCGTCAGCAAACTCACAAGAAATGACATGAGTCCAACGTAGAAAGACATGAGCGCGCCTGCGATGCTCAGAGGGCTTTACTTAAGGATTGTTATTATTTAACTTCTGCTTGGGCCATTCCTTTAATTCAAAGGGGCAAGGAAGTTTAGGGGTGACTTTTTGTGGAATGCAAATCCAACCCTTGTCACCTTGCATGCTGTACGCATGGCTCGAGACTTCAGTAGCAGTGCGCAGTGTGAGAAGTTGCCTAAGCGGCTTTGCGCCTAGGTTTGCTCTGGTGTCCTAAGGCTTGTACAGACCGCTATTTACAATATCGCGGTGAAGCAAGCAGTTCATTGGCTGCGTTTGGACCCGCTGATCCAAAGGATCCTCAGTCTGTCTGCAAATGGCTCAATCGTTGCAGACCAGATTGTGTTGCCAAGCACACCGGCTGTTCTTTCCGTTGGCCAAAGCTGCCTTGAAAAGGGATATGACTTTGTGTGGAGAAAGAACAATGCGCCATATTTTGTGCGATCTGACGGCAAGGTGGCGCTCATGAAGCTCGATGGACGAGTTCCACATGTGGATGATGAGTGCGAGGTCATTGCTTCCGAGCCCGCGATGCCTGTGGCGCAGAAGAGTCTTCGTCCTCAAGCGGGGACCTCCGCCGAATGCTGCATTGTTGCCACTACATCCTGGGATGACGATGGCCCGCCTGAGCCGGAACGTGATGAAGCGGTTGAAGTTGCCGAGGTTCCAGAAGAAAAAGAATCTGGTTCAATGAGGTCAAAAGATGCAAATGCGTGCGGTCAAGCTCGACGTAGGCATGTTCGAGTCGTTTGGGGGTCATGTGGCCGCTGACCATTTCATGTCAAATGATGAGCCAGTTTTAACGGGTTCAAGGTGTCATCAAGGATGTTTCACGCAGCTTCAGGATGAAGGCACGCTTATCTAGGATGCTGACAGTGGTGTTGACGCACTTATGCATTACAGATGATGCAGTCGGCGTTTCTCCTCCGACAGTTCTGGGGCAATCGCAGGAGCTGTTAAAAAGCATGGGCTGGAGGCATGTGTTCAGGCAGCCAATCTTCGTACAATTCTGGAAGGAGCAAGGGCGATCGCCAGTTGAGTTTTGGCCTTTGGCCGCTCAACATCATGCTTTTGCTCTCAACACAACCATTCCGGATGACAAGGACAAATCGCCGTCTGCCTTGCATTTGGCGCGGAAATCCCTGTCACGAAGACCCCGCTTGGTGCAAAGCTGTTGTATTGGATCAATCGCAACCGCGTTGATTCCAAGCAGTCCAAAACCAACCTCGGACTTGCCGGAGAAGATTCGCAATCATGACAGTACTCCGCTGATGGTGAAGCAATACGAGTTGGTTTTTGGACGAGACTCTTGTGCTTCCTGCGCAACAGGCTATTGCTGACGACATTCCCAGTTCTCGAGAGGAACTGGAATATGAGCCTGGAGTTCATGTGTCAAAGAGGAGAACATTCTTCGCACCTGAGACAAGCAAAGCCTGTCCAACTGCACACACACAGGTTTACAACCAAAGGACAACCAAGAGGTTCCAGGCAGAGGCGAAAGAACTATCATCTTCAATAGAAGATAACTGGCGAGTCCAGGCAACATCGCCAAGGACAACTCCAGAGTTGTGTTGTACCAAGGAAACTCACTTTGACACGCCAGCAGACAGGATCATACCAGCACTAGGCCGGCGCGCCGCTGAGTCAAGAGATCCTAAAGAAGCATCACCAGATGCTCCAACAGAGCCGCAAGTCACACTTCCACTTGCACTCAGACGCATACACACACGACTCTCAAAAGCAGAAGAGCTAAAGAAACGTCACCTGCAACATCACCATATGTGAGGAGAGTAGTTCAGATTCAGGACTCGCGCGGTGCATTTAGCGAAGGAGATATATGATCTCTACTACGACAAGATTCGACCAGAATGCGAACCTTGTCAGAAGGCTTCCACAGCACCGTCGCGTAGCAAGACCAGTGGTCTCAGAGCAGGAACATTCGGCGAGTTGACATTCATTCATCATTGCCAAGTTCCCTTAAAACCAGTGAACGCATCAATGTTCTAGTGATCCTTAATGGAGCTACAACCTTTCTAACCACAGAAGTGGTAGAGCGAAGAACTGATGTCACCAATATTCCTTTGTTACGGAACTATTTTGAACAATATCATCTTCAGCCAAAATGTGTCGTTGGAGACCAAGCGTGCGTGACAGAAAACTGGGAGACCTTCTACAACAGCCTTGACATTAGACCTGTTTCGCGAGGCCCCATGACACCGTGGACATCAAGAGCAAGTCTCCCTAATCCTCAACTCAATCAAGGCAGGCGTAGCACCAGTCTCACTAAAGGCTATAACCTACAAGCAACTTGTGACGGCAGCAGCAACCGGAAGAAACCTCTCCGTGACATACGGGAGTCACTCCAGTAGAGCTAGCGTTCGGACATGTTCGGACGCAGGCCAGCAGAGCCTGTCCAATTGAACACAGCTGCACCACCACAACTCACTATTCCAAAGACGGAAGAAGAGTTGACTGCTGGACAGATTCGACTACTTGCGCAACAACCCGGACAATCTGAAGATGTCCGGCGAGACCTCGCACAGCACCTGTGCCTCAGCTCAAAGCCAATCGTACTTGGCGACAAAGTATTCTTCTGGAGCGAGGATAAGTCCAAGAACTGACGGCTCGAAAGGACGAATGTGGCTGAAGGGCAAGGTAATACCCACAGATAGCACTATGGTTGGCATAGACCTTGGAACCAGGTTGCTCAAGGTCAACATCACCAAGTTGAGGGAAACCAAGTCGCCGTCCAGACCTGGACTTGACCTGCTGCCGACAATGATCTTCATAAAGACCTTCTGGAACAAGCCAAGTCAGCAGAACGACCAGTCAAGCCAGGAACCAGGATCAACCAAGTTCCGCAGAACCAGCTGCGCACCGAGGATGACGGTTCTGAAGCTCAGTTTGCAAATTGGAACTGCGTGACCAAAGGTAAGACCCAAGGCCGGGGCCACTTGTCCGCTCTACGAGTCGGATCCGGTGTCATATACACCGAGCATAGTGATGACCAGCGCCTACAGAAGAAGCCGCGTCCCTTCAACAGCAGTTCCGACGGGTCAGACCCACGTTTATGCCAAGCCACCCACCTCACGCACAACCAGCGCAAGACGATCCTGGCACTCTGCTTGGGCGCATCTTCATGCCGGACTTGGTTGATGATACTCCCGTCAAGGAGAATGGCTGGTAAGGCATCATAAGACGCTCACGGACTCCTCCGCCCAAGCGGCAGCGAAGACGGCATCCCAGTGGCCCACCACGATGCTGGATAAGAGTGGGATCAGTGGATCAACACATCATCGCCCAGCACACTGTCTACGGCATGGACAGGCTGTGCTTGGTTTAACGTGGGAGCCTCACGAGCCCGCGGGCAAGCCAAGCAAATGACCCGCAAAAAGCAGAAGGCCTTGGAGAAGGAGATCCCATAGCGCACCATCCCAGGCGAACGCCGAGAGATGTACCGCGACGAGTTGCTGCGCGAGTGGAATACTTGGTTGAAGTACCAGGCGGCGCTGGTGCTCTCGATGGCGCAGTGCGACAAGTCCAGGATCTTGTCTACGTGCCTGGTACCGCGACAATGCTGCACAAGCGCGCAGCCTTCCCTTAGTTGGAGCGCAAGCCGTGGTACGCAGAGGGGACATGGTTTCGGACTTGGTGACGCTGCGGCGCGACGCGCCAACATTGACTCGCTTGAACCTCACGCGCGTATCGCAAGTTGCCGCCAGCAGGTCATATTCAACGCCGACATCGCCGTCGCCTTCTTTGAGGGGCGATCAGTCCTTGGCGTCCCGCTTGGAACCTCTGTTTCTTCGACCCCCTGTCGACTTCACGGAGTACAACGGCAGCAGCTACTACACTGGTGGTACGTGGCGCCTTTGGGTTGGCAAACTCGCCACATCTTGGAGGCATTTGCGGGATTCGCTGATCAAGCTGGGATTCGCACAATCCCGCCTCAACAATGGATCAGCACGGGATCGCAGATGAGATCCTCGACGACTCTGTTAAGGAGACCTTCAACTTCGGCGCTTGATGGAGGCAAGAAGATCCGCAAGAAGGAGGATGTCGTGCAGATGTCAGGAGAAGCTTAGGCGTGACCCCAACTCCGAGGCGGCGCGCAGCGACACCGAACAGCCCCGCTCAAGCACGAGGTGACGGAGCTCAAGTCAACTGGCCTTGGCTGATTGGACAGATGCATCCGGATTTGGCAACTACATCAAACAAATTTGCAGCGCCTCAGCAAACTCGTCAAGGAGGCCAAGGCCACGGAGACTTTCCAGCCGGTGGTTTTCTCGGAATCATGCTGGGCGATCGCTTGCAAGCCGGGTATCTGGTGTGCGCCGGGACAGGATGTCGTGTATGAGGATCTCGAACATCTCCCGCGTGAGTCCCGATCGAGTTGTCCCTGCCGCCAAGGTAGAGCGGCGTCGTCTCTTGCTCCGGCGCAAACGCCTTCCGGACGCTGTCGTGGCAGACTGCAGATCGTTGTATGATGCACTTTGAAGGAAAGCGCCGAAGAGCAGCATGGACCCTACGGCTGAGAACCTAAAGGAGATCTTTCGGTGGGCTGACACCAAGACGCAGTTGGCCGAAAACCTCACGAAGCAGAAGCCTTTACACCAGTTGGCCAAGGGCACCATCGCCTGGTGAGTGTTGAGCCGGAGGAACGGATCTAACGACCCGACTCTTGAGCTTTGGCGACTCATCGCCATGAAAAGGCGCCGCATGCGCTTCAGAGCTTTATGAACCAGGCTCCGCATTCGCAACCTGCTGGGTGTGAATCCCCCAAGTTTCATCATCAACTTCCGGCCCGTCTGCATGTGGCACCCACCTCCAGAATAGGAACTAATATGATGTCTTCATATAGGAGGGGTAGGGCATTCTTGTCAGAGCGGGGCACGCGCAAAGCATTGGTAGAGGGTAGACGTAAGTGGGCTGATGAAAGGCTTTTCGGATGTGTTTGTTGCCATGGCCGCGCGTGTCCCAAGCGTGCCAGTCAATCGAAGAGCGGATGGGAATAGACGCTTCAGATATTTCCGTCTGAGTCTGAGAGCAAGCCATGTGCTGACGTGTGGTTGAGATCCACATGTTCATAGAGTAGAAATAGTCTTCGTTACGCAAAGCTCGTGTCTATGAGAGTATGCTTGTTGCAAATGGGCACGAGCTTTGAAAGGCCGTTCGAATCCGCAATGGCCTGTAGGTTTTGCCAATTTCATTTTCCGGATTGCCTGAGCAGACGGTCGACCAAGTCGTATATATGTCCTGTCTCAGAACCAATCCATATGAAATGATTTCCAAGTTCGAACAGATGAATTATCCGTACGTAGATGGCGGCAACCTGAAAAGAACGAGCGACGAGAATAGAATGCTTGAAATTTATCCAAATATAAATTTATTATTGAAATATTCATTTATTATTGAAACATTGTTATTGAAATAGTTCTTTATTATAATTAAACAAGTAATATTATATAATATAATATAAATATATATTGAAATTAAAAGTAATATATGTTAAATACATATATATATATATATATATTCAAATTATTCTCCTATAAACCGGTATGGCTTCGAGGTCGCATTTCTCGTGCACCGGCAAGCCGTTGTAGCGGTACTCCGGCCGAATCGTAGTGCTTGCGGCGAGCGGCTATGCTTTGCCGCGGTCTTTTCCCCGCGGCACAAGCTCCGGCCTCTTCGCGCGGCCCGGAAGGCCCCGAAATTTCGGCGAAATTTCGGGGGATTCTAAACAACTTTGCTTAGAGTTCTCGCGGCGTGCCCGGCCAAATTTTTCGATTTTTGGGTCGCTTCCGGCGACGCGGCTCTTAGGTTTCCGGACGTTACCCGCGCAAATTTCTTCGGAATATGGTGGTTTTCCGAAAAAATTACCGGGCCAAATTTCGGGGAAATTTGGGGACTTGTCCGAGTCAATATTTCTCGAAAATTTGTGCCGGGTCTCTGTGTCTCCCAGTCTGTTCGCGTGTGTCCGTATCTATCTGTTTCGTAATCTCTGTCTTTCTCTGTCTCTGTTTCTTTCTGGTGTTTGTGCTTCTCTGTCTCTATCTGTCTGTCTGTCTCTCTCTGTCTCTCGGGTTGTCTCGGTTTGTCTCTGTTTGTCTCTATGTGTCCGTGTCTGTCGTTCGTCTCTATTTCTTTGCGTCTTTTTGTGTCTCTCTGTCTATTTCCGCGTGTCCGCGTCTGTCTATTTGGTAATGTCTGTCTATATCTGTCTTTGTCTTTATGTTTCTGTCTGTCTGTGTTTGTTTCTGAGGGTCGATTCACAAAGATGGCGCACTTCTGCGTCGCCGCGTGCCGCATCTCCCCCTTTTTCGTTCTATCTTTTTGTTTCTACCATTGTTCTTGTTTGCCTGCTCCCTCCCTCCCTCCCTCCCTCCCTCCCTCCCTCCCTCCCTCCCCCTCCCTCCCTCTCCTCCTCCCTCCCTCCCTCCCTCCCTCCCTCCCTCCCTCCCTCCCTCCCTCCCTCCCTCCCTCCCTCCCTCCCTCCCTCCCTCCCTCCTCCTCCCTCCCTCCCTCCCTCCCTCCCTCCCTCCCTCCCTCCTCCTCCCTCCCTCCCTCCCTCCCTCCCCTCCCTCCCTCCTCCCTCCCTGCTCCCTCCCTCCCCCTCTCCCCTCCCTCCCTCCCTCCCTCCCCCCTCCCTCCCTCCCCCTCCTCTCCTCTCCCCCTCCCTCCCTCCCCTCCTCCCCACCCTCCCCTCCCTCCCTCCCTCCTCCACTCCCCCTCCCCTCCCCTCCCACTCCCTCCCCTCCTCCCTCCCTCCCTCCCTCCCTCCCTCCTCCCTCCCTCCCTCCCCTCCCCCTCCCTCCTCCCCCTCCCCTCCTCCCTCCCTCCCTCCCTCCCTCCCTCCCTCCCTCCTCCCTCCCTCCCTCCCTCCCTCCCTCCCTCCCTCCCTCCCCTCCCTCCCTCCCTCCCTCCTCCCTCCCTCCCTCCCTCCCTCCCCCTCCCTCCCTCCCTCCCCCTCCCTCCCTCCCTCCCACCCTCCCTCCCTCCCTCCCTCCCTCCCTTTCTCTCTTTCTCTCTCTCTTTTTCTCTCTCTCTCTCTCTTTCTCTCTTTCTGTCTCTCTCTCTCTCTCTTTCTGTCTCTCTTTCTCTCTCTCTCTCTCTGTCTTTCTGTGTCTCTCTCTCTGTCTCTCTCTCTCTCTCTCTCTGTCTTTCTGTGTCTCTCTCTCTGTCTCTCTCTCTCTCTCTCTCTCTCTCTCTCTCTCTCTCTCTCTCTCTCTCTCTCTCTCTCTCTCTCTCTCTCTCTCTCTCTCTCTCTCTCTCTCTCTCTCTCTTTCTCGTTCAAATCGGTTGTTACTTTGCTTACAAGTGTAAGTGTTGTAGTGTGTAAACAAATAGTTAACCGATGTAGTCTGCAGCTGCTAACCTTTTTACTTATGCGAAGTAGTGAGCTTAAGGCTTGTAGTAGTGAACATATATGTAACACAAATGTAGGAAGTGAAACATGTAGTTTGATACGGTCCCGCAGTTAAAAGGTCTTTATAGTATTTTTTTAATTGAAATACAAAACATGGATTGATAGTAGTGTTGAAAACTATTGTTTATTAATTCTACTATTTCTGCAAAAGTAGTGACTTGCGCTTAATAGTTTATGTTGTTTAGGTTCTAGCTCGATGTAGGGAGAAATGAGGTAGGCACTTGTTGTAGTGGAGCAAGAGCTCAAAGATGTAGTCCCTATTTTTGGGCGCGATAGTTTTGGACCATTTGGAGTTTGTTGTCTAGTAGTGTATGGTGAAAAATGTTGTTATGTCGTTTGGAGCTCCCCGTAGTCGTTCGTCGTCTATCTTAGGGCACGATATGTGTTGAGTGAGGTTTGTCATGGTGAATAATATGAACCCGTAGTATTGTGTACTTTTGTAGAGGATGGTAGTAATTGCCTTGTGTTGGAAGTCGTGTAGTTGGTCTCTGTTATAAAGGTAGTGGAGTAGTTTAGGTAGTAGTAGGGGCATGTGGTAGTCCTAAAGGTCGTTGTTCTTGAGGCTGCAATTGTCGGTGACGGTGGTTATGTTGTAGTTCACCTTGTGGATGGTCTGTGGAATTGGTGTGGTCGGGAGGTAGTAGTTCTGTTGTATGGATATTATGTAGGAGATGTAGTCCCTTGTGAAATGTAGAAATTGTCCTGAAGTGAGGTATCTTAGGAGTAGTGGTTGTTCAATCTGGAGCTGGATGATGACGTTGTTGGTGTTGTCGCTGGTTGTAGTGTGGAGTGAAGTCGTGTGGTAGTAGTGGACGTTGGCTGCTTTAGGTAGTGAAACGCTGAGCAGTGTGGAGTTGTAGTGGGGCATTCGAAAGTCTCTAGGGATGTAGTGAATGGATCGCATGTAGTCCAGTTGTGCTAGTGGAGTTGCTTGTTGTTGTGAGAGTAGTTGACACTCTTCAAGTGTGAGTGCAGTGAAAAATTGAGTGTAGGGTGTGTTGTTGGGTAATGGTGGTGTAGTGGTTGTTTAGTGTTTAGTAATGTCTAGTTGGTCTATTACTGTGATCGGGTTGTAGTAGACCGTGTTGCTAGGTGTAGAATGGTTGAAGTGGTAGTTGGAGTCGTTGTAGGTTTGAGGTGGTGGAATTCCGTGGTTATTGGAGTTCGTAGTGACTACTACTTCAGGTGTAGTTGCCTTGTCGGGCGTAATGGCGTCTCCCATCGTAATATCTGTAGTAGATGGAGCGGCCATGGCTGTAGTGGAATGCAAAATGTAGTGAAATGGGGCAAAAACAAAATGAGCCTAAGTAGTTGCTATTAGGCAGGCGGCGCATGTAGACATATAAAGCAAACAATTGTAATGTTGACTCAGCCGCCAAAAGTGCAAGTGAAAATACATGTAGTTACTATTACTCTCATACCAAAAGTGTCGTGTTACATGTCGCTATTTATATACAAGAAATGTCTAAAGTTATTGTTATTGTTGTGAAACTGTTATGTTGGTCGTTCGTAGTGTTAAATACGTATCCTAATACTCTGGATGAGCCTGTGTAATGCTACTTTGTTGATGTATTTGGTAAACAAATCTGCGCTGTTGTGAAGTGTGATATCGTGCTTGATGAGATCTTGTGTGTGAGGTCGATGTGTTTTGCTCGTTTGCTAGTGCCTTGTCGTGTAGCAATGCTCTTGCCTGCTGTGGAGTCTGTGTGGATGCGTAGGTTTAGCTTGCTGCAAATGTTGGTTTCAAGTAGGAAGTTTCTGAGGTGTAATCCCTCATTAACTCCTGTGCAAATGGCATAGAGTTCAGACTCTGCTGAGCTGAGTGTTATTGTAGCTTGTATTCTGCTGCCAAATGCAATTGCTGTTCCTAAAAAGATGATGTTGAAACCTGAAGTTGATTTCCTGGTAGTAGGGCATCCTGCCCAATCGGCATCGACATAAATGTCGATATCCAGGATGTTGTTGGTGTTTGCTCTGAGTGTTTTTGTTGGTTCTATGGTGAATTTGTAGTGTTTGGTGCCGTGTAAGTAGCGTAGTAGATGTTTGACTCTCTTTTGTGAAAGTTCTGTAGGTGCTGTGAGGTCTTGTGCTAGTTCTTTTATGGAGTATGCAATGTTTGGTCGTGTGTATGCTAACCATTAAAGTTTGCCAACAATCCTTCTGTACCTTTTATGTTGTTTGTAGTCAAGTAATATTTCATCTTCTATTGTTGGTTTGTAGTGTGTAATTCCTGGAATGTTCATTGAGTTGCAGCTGTTCATTCCAGACTCCTCGATCATATTGTCGATGTAGGAATCCTTTAGTCCAAAATTGCAGTAGTTGTCAAAATGGTCGATATTTCTTCTAAGAAATTGTTGTGATTTGCCAGGTTTGAGGTAGCCGATGTGCTTGAATAGGACCTGCTTCTGGACGGCCTCGAAAGTGGAGTCGACCGCAGTCTTGTCCCCAAGTACTAGTAAATCGTCTACGTAGACTATGATGTAGCACTCACGGGTCGCATTGGTGTAGATGTTAGATTCTGATTTTAGTCTTACAAAGCTGAGCTTTTGTAACACTTCAGCAGGTAATCCTGCCATGCTTTTGGTGAATTGCATAGTCTATACATGGCTTTCTTTAATCGCCAGATTTTGTCTTGTTAAAGACAAAGTTCTTTAGGTAGCCAAAGGTAGACGTTATATTGTTTACCGTTGTGGTCTTTTGCGATGGGTACGTGTAGAAATGCTATAGAGATGTCATTTAGTCGCGCCATCTAGTTTAGTCGTGATATTTGTAGTACTAGAAATGTCCGGAGTATCGTGAATATTGGTGTAGAGGCATAGATGGAATCTTCGTCCTCGATCTTCTCTGTGTAGCCTTTTGCAACGATTCGGCTTCGTACTCTTAGTCCTGTCTTTTTATGTACCCATCTTGTAGGTGTCGCTTCTCTCATGATGT